TGTAAACTGACCTTTTCCAATCCTGTGGCCAGTGTTGAGTTTTCCAAGTTTGCTGGCATATTGAGTGTAGCACTTCTACTGCATTGTCTTTTAAGATTTTGAATAGCTCAGCTGGAATACTGTCGCCTCCACTAGCTTTGTTGTTGCTCAGACTTCCTAAGGCCCATTTGACTTCACATTCCAGGATGTCTGGCTCGAGGTCAGTGACCACCCCATCATGGTTATCAGACTCTTTGTTGTATAGTTCTTCTGTGTAATCTTGCCCCCTCTTCTTAATCTCTTCTGCATCTGTTAGGTTCCTGCCATTTTGGTCCTTTATCATGCCCATCTTTGCATGAAACGTTCCCTTCATATCTCCAATATTCTTGAAGAGATCTCTGGTCCTCCCTATTCTATTGTTTTCTTCTATTTCTTTGCACTGTTCATTTAAGAAGGCATTCTTATCTCTTCTAGCTATTCTCTGGAATTCTGCATTCAATTGGGTGTATCTTTCTCCCTTGCCTTTCACTGCTGTACTTTATAGTTTTAATAGCCATGAACACTCAGAAAGTAAATAAATGAAATAAATTAAGTAACCTCTGCTCCACTTTAACAGGTTCCATTTATTACTGAGACTTCATTTATTATTGAGACTTCATAGCATTTTTAAAGTGAAAAAGCAGAGTAAGTGCGCCTGTAAGTAAGTAAGTAAGTAAATGTTGGAAGAATTAAAATGTTTTGGGGAAGTCCTGGAAAGTAAACACAGCACTTATGTGGAATCATGGCTTCACATCTCTGTCAACATTCATTGTTTTTATTTGTTTTGTCTTCTTACCTGCATGGCTGCAAGAACCTCGGGGTCACTAAGAATTTCATTGAGGCCTGGCATGCCCCCCATCCCAGGCATGGCACCAGGCATTCCACCAGGAAAACCACCTGAAAATATGAAGAACACACTCAGAGGCCTTTTGTTTTGCAGTACACTACATCTTGCATATACCATTTTAACAGTTTGTCAGAAAATGTCTGTGCCTAAAAAAGCAACTAAACAAGAGATTCCCTAAACCAGAAAGCACGCACTTTATCTGAAGAGTTGCAAAGTACAATTAGCTGCACCATCAGTATCCAAATATGGGTATCTTCCAGCTGAAAGTTACTGACACCTGTTTAATGGTTATGCCACCTGCAGGCTTCATGCTACATAAGAGAGTCAACTCAAAATATATTCTGATACACCATTTTAGTCAATTCTATGTGATTGAAAAATCACTGCCAGAGATCAAGTTCTACATCCTTTTTAGTAAGATTTTACCAAGAAAGCAACATACAAAAGGCAAGCAATTTGACAGTATATATAATTTTCCAAAGTTTACTGTCACCCTGGTTATATAGCTTTCTTCACTGGATTTAATCTCAGATAAAAAATAAAGTATCAAGTAGCAGCCAACCACATTAATTATTCTAGCATACTTTACAGAGGGAGACAAAAGAGGAAGCAGGATTATTCCATCAGCCTTGCTGAAGCATTACTTAATTTTTTCCTCATTCCTTCCCATCCCTTTTTCTTTTTATCAAAGGTCTTCCTTGATTTTAACTCTGCAGTCAGGTTTGTTTAATATACAAAAGGCCTGAGAGAATTTTACGCTTGGTGCCCAAGAAAGTGATGTTGGCATGAGGCAAGCATCCCTAGAAAGGATGTTCCATAATTTGTCAACCAAACTCTACCAGGAGAGGCAGGGGACTTGGGGAGGGAGAGAAAAGGTTCTCAGCTGCTGATCTGTCTAGCCCCATAACACTCTTATAGGTTCTTACATCTCTGTCTTAGTGTCTGCTCCTCTTATTAGCAGTTATTTACTCCATTCATGCACAAACTCCAGCAACCAAGTGATTTCCCTCTTGCTTAGTAAAAACAAGAGGGAGAACTTCCTTTTGTCCCAGCTGCATGCTAATCAAAATACTATGGCCCAAATTCACAAGATTCACTTACCTTCTACTGATAACTATTAATGCTTTGAAATGAACACATACCTGGGAAGCCACCAAACTGAGGTCCTCCTGTTTGTCTACGAGCCTCTTCCTCCTGCAATCAAAGAATCATGATAATCTACACGCGCTCCAACTAATCAAGCTCTTTCTAAAAATCCAAAAATATCAGATTAAAACATTTGAGCCCTACATGTTTTAGAGGTTCTAGTTTTCTGCAACACTGCTTCATTCCAGTGCAATACAGAATTCCGAGCCCTATCAAGGATGCTTGTGACTTGTTTTAATGCTGCAGTTTCTTCACATAATCCTAGCACTGGATTTCAAACTATTATGTGTTTATTTCTTACCAAGTTATGGTGCCTTACTACTAAATATATACTCACTTCAAGACTGACACTCTATAGCAGGAGCTAGTATTTCCAACTATTATGCAGTATTGTACAAGAGTTAAATGTTTTTAATTGGTAAGCAGCTCTTGTTCTCTTTTTGAGTCCACTTTGGAGTTTACATCCACAAATGTGTGATATATGAAGTTACATTCTGTCATTTTTTTCATTGCACACGCTTAAGCTCTTACCCTTTGAGCTCTCTCATGTTCCTCCCGGGCTTTCTTTACTCTTTCCAGTCTGTCTCGGATTTCTTTTTCTTCACGCTTTCGTTCATATTTTCTCCTATGTTCTGCAATCTTCTGAGCCTGAGGCACAGTGGGAAAAGTATTCATATGCAATACTATCTTAACATTCTACCTATCATAGCTTACTTTTAATATTTTTCTATCAAATCTTTCTATCACAAATTATATTTGTTATATATTCATGTCATTCAAGAACACTGGGACCCTAACATCTTAATTACCCTTGAAAGAAAGCTCAGTTTTTGACACTGCACAGGATTTTTTTTTAAGAATGAGAAATACCAAAGATTACTGATACAACTGGTCTAAACCCGAAATTTGTAAAGGGAAGCCTTCTACACTGTAACAGAAATCCTACTATAAACCTAAATGAAGAAACTTACATCATTATGGTAAGCCGAGGAAGAGTAATAAAATGACCCACTATTTCAACAGTCTGCTATAAAACTAAGGTTCATTTGTACTTTTACTCAGACTGACTTACAATGAAGGTGGATCAATTCTATAGACTTAAACTGAAATAGGAAGGCAAATGCCAAATTATAAGCAGAATACCACTTTAAGTGCACAACTAAGGGGGAGGTAGTGTATTTCCTTCCCCAAAACTAAAGAAAGCTTACAACCTGACATAAACCTGTTCTGTTATTTTGGAGGCATCAAGACAACTTCAAAGAAGAAGACTCATGCTTGAAACTGATTATTTTAAGGACAAAGAATATGCAGGAGACTAGATAAGCCAAGGATTATATGAAACCCTAAGGAAGAAGGAGGGAAGCCTTTTTGGTCTGGGGGCCAAATTCAAGCTTTTGGGGGCTACATTTCAGTGGTGGACTGGATGGAAGGCAAATGAAAAAAGGAAGGGTAAAAAATACTAGCATATTCAGCTTTAAAGCACTAGACATATAAAGTTCTGTGGAAAAAAACAGACACATTCAGATTATTTTTCCACCAGGATCATTCTTGGTTTTAATCCGGAAAAAAAAAAGAAATACTTAATAGTCTTGAATTATGAAATATTGTTTAGAATAATGAATAAAACTTAAAGACAAGGTACACTTTTACTCTCCATTGCCCATGATTTGTAAAAACTGTGTAACAAAGTTTTTATAGGAAGACTTATGATGCAATTTTCTGGAAACACCATCATAGGGAAAATGTTTTTTAAATTCTCTGTAAGATTTCAAAAATAGATATTTCTTCCTTGTAATTCCTTCTAAGAGAATTACATATATCTTTCTGTACAGGTCAATTCACAGGATACATATTGCCATTTGAGGAGCCTTGATCTAGACATTTTGCCTGTTTAGGAGCCAAAAATTCTGGGATCAAGATTCAAAATACAAATATTGGAGTGGATACCAAACACCAGATATACAACACTTTTACTGGTTATAGAGAAATCACACTGAATCAGTAATATGAATATGATGTCTCAAAACAAAAGAGTGGAAAATAGGTAGTTATCAATGTATGTTGTGAAAAACTGCATAGCATTCATGACACTTTTATTTGGATAAACTATTTCAATACGTTTCCCAGAATTTCCCCCCTTCAGAGGATTATGCAGAAGTCCTCAAACAATAATTTTTGTATCCTTTATTTTAAAAACATCTCTGGTGGTGGTCTCCCTATTTGTGGCCTGAAGTTCGTTCCTCCAAGGGCTGACCTAGCTTACTTGCTCCTCTGTTCTGTGAAATCATATTGCTCTACTTGGGTTTTTGTTTTTGTTTTTTTGTATTTTCTCCTTTGGTACAGGTTTCACCGAGAAAAAGAGGTCAATATGCCTCAGGAACTGGGTCAGTTGCTGTCAGTTTTAACAGCAACTGACCCAGTCTATTTGCACTAAAAGACCATGTTTTTATTCATATGGAAAGCAGAGACATAGACTTTATTCATATAAGTATGGGGCTGATGCATTTTCAGTCTCCCTGCAATGTTGTCTCTTCCCTCTTTACCCATAAAAGCTACTGATAAAAAAGGGTGATAAGAAGCCACATTCCATCCTGCAAGACCTGTCAATGAAAGAGACTAATATGTGGAATACCGAATGATGCACAATTAAAAAGTCATTCTGTTTATTGACCACTGAAGGAGGAGATCAGGTGACCCCAGATGTTGCTGAATTACAATTCGCATTATCTCAGACCACTGCCTATGGTGGCTGGTACTGTAGGAAGGTAGTCCAGCAACATCTGGAAGGATGCATGTTCCACACTCCTGATCCATGTAATAGCAGGAGAGTACAGAAAAGCCAGGTTGTCGTATTATCAGGTTCAGTAATGTTCAATTACTGATATCTCTATAATATAGTAAAATGAATGAACTACTATTGGATTAATCTTCCCTTTGTATAAAGTTAAATCTGACCCTTATTTACAAATCATTTTTACATGTCATATAGCTTAGCCTGCAAAGAAAGGAATGGTTCTCTGGAGTTACAGCGAAGAATTTTCTGAACTGTATTTAAAGTCAAAGCTGACAGTGCTCCCTTGTGGCACAATAGTGAAAAAATAACTGCACTGCATCAAATGCACTCTTTTCAGAAGAAATTCACACTTTCATACTTACACAACTTATCTGAAGTTTTTTTCACTGTCACTTTCTCCTTGAACATAGTTCTACTGAGACAGAAATTTATATACATTTCTGTGGCGAATTTCAAAGGTGTTTACCAAGAGAGTGGCAGTGAACCAATAGCTTTACAGGGTATGAAATGCTCCTCAGCAATCTTTGCCAGAAAATAACAAGTCAGTGGCTTTATAACTGCTTGAAGCAATAAGGACACATATCTCTAATAGGTCCTGCAGTCTGGCATTCATTTGGTATAATACCACAGATATAAAAACATAAGGTAAGTAATCTTCCCATCTTTGTTCCTTTTGTCACTCACTCGTGGCTGTACTTCCTTCAGCATGGCACTAGCTTCATCATCATAATCCAATTTACAGGCCAAAGACAAGTCACGTGCAGCCTCCTCCCAGTGACCTAACAGCCTGGCAATGGTGAGTATTCAAAAGTTAATATTTGTTTCTGTGGACGTACATTTTAAAACAAATTTAATCCAGCCATAAGAGAAAATATGGGTGCACAGAGGAATGCATTCAATTAATGATTATGCTATATGAATATCTGCAGAAGTAAGTTATTCCTTATTTCAAAGTTTTACATTTAGCAAGAATGGTGAAATTTAGCATGCTCAATCATGAATGGTTCACACAGTGAGGTCACAGTGCATGTAGGGAATACAATGACACTCTTTTTCTTATCTAACCCTTGCCTAGGGGTTACTGAGTGAATCCAGCAAGTGTGGGTAAAAAGCAGGAACAAAAACTAAATGACCCTTCCATAACCCTAGAACAGGCAATGAGCTGGACAAGGGTTGTCTCTCAAACCACACTTGCTGGGTTCACATGATCCAACAACCACTGAGCAGAAACTGGATATGTAGAAATGCTCCCATGGGTTCCACTTACCTATGGTTTATTTAAACCATAATTTATTGAACTACCCAATTACTGTAGCAGGCAGTCAATAAACCTAGAGTTTTTGTTCTCTCAGTCCCTAGTTTTTCACCAGTTCTCCATATCCTGAATGTTTTTAGCAGGATATTACTGCATCAGCTGCCTGCTTACCACTGATCTGCTCCCAACAACTTTCACAGCTAACTAAAAACATCTCCTTTACTCAATTCCTGGAGAACACAGTGGCGGCATTCCTTGTGGAGAATGTTAACAACTTCTCACTGGAGTTCTTTTAGGTACCTGGAATTAGCACTTTTCAGAAATGTATTTTGTGGGTAACCTGAGATCTGAAGTTCTTGAACTTTGAGGAGGGGGGGGCAGAGATGACTTGGTACATACAGTTTGGCAAATGAGGCCCCCAGCTCAGTAACTAATCCTTGTCAACTCCTCTAGCACTGTCAGGAGTCATGCTGAGCTTCTGGTTGGGGAACAGGGCAGATCTGTGTTGTGACTGGTCTTGCCAGGCAGACTTTATCATTAGTGTGAAGGCAAATGAAAAGTACAGCTTCCTGTGGGGCAAACCCTTTCTCACCTACTGCTTCTGCAGCCTGGCAACAAAGAATAACCCACAATTGTGAGTTTGCATGTAATAATCCTATGGTTGAAATAACCAGAGTTCACATCCCAGCAATCATGGATTCTTTCTGGCCTGTTCATGGTTAACAATTCATGGTCAATACAACCATGTTAACACAACAGAACAACTTGGAACTGAACATCCCGTACCATGGACTAATGTACAAACTAGGTCATACAATGAACTTCTTCAAAGCATTACCACCTAAAAATTACTTATGCACAAAGACAGCATGCTGTAACTTTAATCTTAACCCCTATTTCAATAGTATGACTGCTCTGTAACAATCATATTTATGTACTAATCAAAACCATAAAAGTTACAACAAAAACCTATTATTTAGAAAAGTTGGTATTAGGAGCTTTACATCCCTCAAAAAAAGTCATACTACTAACTCATGTTATAAAGAGAAATTGGACTGGGAAGTTGTGTTTTCATTACTTGGAGAATTAGGACATAAGCAGAAGCAGGTGTTTTACCTGTGGGCTTTTCCTCGCCATTTGTAGGTCTGCGCTGAATCAGGATTAATCTGAATAGCTCTGTCACAATCTCTAATGGCAGCATTTGGCTTCTGCATTTTCACAAAAACACTGTCAATAACAGGAAAGTATGTGCTTAATTAAAGAACCATCAGCAGAAAATTGTTGGGTCTACAGCCTGGAACACTGCAGCAACTTGCTTGACAGTTGCAGTACTTATTCTGATTGTTCCCCATCATTTTCACCAAATTATGTGTTCAGTATTTTCTACACAAGCTACTAAATGTCAGACTTCAGTTGCTGATAATGTCACTGCAATATAATGGCAACTAGAGAACCATTCAGAGGAGGTATCTGTGGCATCAATCAACAGTTTCCTTATATTTTAAACTTCATGTTATTTGTCTGTGGTAATGACAGGCATAGTAACATTATCTGTAGCAGACAGACTATCAACTGCCAATTAAAGGTTAGCTCCTTTCAGCTAAAGACTTTACTAAAGAGTGCAAAAGCTACTCTTAAAATGTTGTGAACCACTCAGAGAGCTTCAGTTATGGGCAGTACAGAAATGTAATGCAGCAATATAATATTGATATTCATCTACTGTCCTACTGCTGCTAAAAATTGGGATCAGGAATATGACATGTAAATTATGTACAATTTCCATAAATACTTAATCCAGAAAACTGACATTACACTGATTCTTCTGCCCTATCTTGCAAACATTTCTTCTATCTTGTAAAAATTTCCATTACAACCCTAAGGACTGTGGAAGGTATACGGGGCAGATTCTTGGTTTTTCAGGTGATTAACAGCAACTCAGAATGGCAAGAAAGAATATTAACTTAGGAATGACCTTATCAAAATGAAGAGGCAGCAGAGGCTAAACCACTTTTTGCAACTGGGGAATGGTTGCAACAATTACGCGCTGCATAGACGCTGAAAACTTACTAATTACTAATTTAACAAGTAGTTTACCTGTAATCTGGAACTCTGGAGTTAACTCATCCAGACTAAGCTACATTTGGGCACCTTCTAAAGTACACTTTTTTTAAAATTTAAACTCTCACCTGGCTCGTTTGGCGTACAGGATAGCCAAATGAGGATTCAACTTGATCGCTTCTGTGAATAAATCAATGGCTTTCTGAAGTTCACCTGAAAATATTAGTAAATCTTTAATTGTACCTGGTAAGAAAATCAAATTATATATTGTCTTAATTAAGAGACCTGGAGATATGTAAAGAAGAGTGTGGTATAAGAGGAAGCAGTCTGGGCTACTGTGAAAAAAGACAGCCAAGTGGCTGCTCTTTATGATCACTTTTCTGGAGCCAAAGAGTTGTAATAACTCTAGGCCAGTTGCAAAGATCCCATTTCAAGGTATTTGAATGCATGACAGGTATGCATCTGTGGGGTCTCTTGAGGGAAAATTATGTGTAGCTGTACTTCAGGCCCAGATTTTGTGCAAAACTCACCGTGGCTGCCCTGATGGATGTTCTGTGCTAGAAAAGAGAAAAGGGGAACACCACTCTTCAATTTTCCTGTGAACCTCCAAGAGATTTTTTTTATACCTTTGACCATGGTATCCTCCTGGATCAGCTATGTGCAGTGAGACTCTATAAAGATTCATTCTCTTCTCCAGGCCCCCTGTCCATGTGACTACCAGTTTAGATCCCACTCAATGAACCTTTGCCAGCATTCTCATGATCAGAGAAGAGAGGGATAGATAAAGCAATATCCCGTACAATTCAGCAGAAACACATCTTCCAGGGAGCTCTGCCTTCTTCTGCCCAAGAGCAGATGCTCTGGCATACAGTATTGTTCCAAGTACTTTTATAAGCAGCACAACCTCTTTCTATCTTTTACTATAAATTGCCCAGAGACATCTCTGACTATGGAGTGGTCCATAAATGTTAATAAATAAATAAGTGGTAAACAAAGCAACTCTAAGTGTCCCCCACATGCTGAAGTTCTTGTGGAGCTGAGGGTATTCACCAAGGTGTTGCTCGTACTGGCAATATAAGAGATTGCTGTAAGGGTGATGTCCCTCTAGACCAGGGGTCCTCAAACTATGGCCCGCAGGCCAGATACGGCCTGCCAAGGTCATTTACCTGCCCCCCCATCAGAGCTTTCGGACTCGTTCGGTGAAAATGATCTCTGAACAAGTCCGAAAACTCTGAGCCGGCGCAGGCATACTCTGAAACTCTTTTGGTTTTGGGACTAGCAGAGAGCCAGCACATGTGCCAAACTGTGACAGCTCCCTTCAACTGTGCATGCGCCGGCTCTCTCTGCTAGCTCTGGCTAGCTTCTGCTGCTGTGCTGGTCTTGCCAGCATGAACTGAACACACGCCAGCGCTTCCTCCTATTGCATGCATGCGTTGGCTCTGAATACAGAAGAGAGGAGCGAATATGGAACCGGACATTGACCATCTCATTAGGCAAAAGCAGGCCCATACTTCCCATTGAAATATTAAGTTTATGTTGATTAAAATAGTTCTACATTTTAAATATTGTATTGTTTTCCTTTTTTTGCACTACAAATAAGATATGGGCAGTGTGCAGAGGAATTCATTCATATTTTTTTCAATCTATATTCCAGCTCCCCAACAGCCTGAGACAGTGAACTGGCCCCGTTTAAAAGTTTGAGGACCCCTGCTCTAGGCGCACCAATTCCAGAATCACACAGCTCACTAGGCCAGAATAGATGAGGTGTCTCCCTGTTTGTAGATATAAAAGATCACTGTGGTATTGTCTGTATGTATGTGATGACAAGAGAAGAAAGTTTGAAAAGCCTTGAGAGCTTTCTTCATTTTCAGTTAATATCCAGTTAATTTATATGCTTGTGGGCTTTGAACCTACTACACATTCCTTAGATCGTCACAGTGGGCCCCCCATCTGGATAGGGAGGCTTCTGTAGTGACTGTAAATGTTGGCTTGGGGGAAATGAACAGAGTCTCCTTGGTGAGACTGCAGCAGTACATCCACCAAACAAGACTATTCCAGTTAAAAGTCAATGTCCAGAGAAAAATTCATCAAGAGTTGTCCATGTAACGGTATTCAGGGAGAAAACATAGCTAGAAAGGACACATCGAGAGTCTGGTTGATGGCACTACCATGACCATTGCCACCATGAGTCTAAGGAGCCAATGGATCAGGAAGGCAGTGATGACATAGTACATGCACTCCCTGTCTGTTGGCCATGTTCATCATCATTGATACTCTAGATACTGGGAAATATGCTTTTGCTGAATTCGAGCTGAGGTGGGCCTCAATAAAGAAGACTGACTGAGAAGGGCAGAGAACAGATTTCTCTGAGTATATGCAAAGCCCCAACTCCTCTAATAAAGTACAAGCAATATCAACTGGTAAAGTCCCATCCTCTTTGCCATCATCTGGACCTTCTTGACAGAGTTCATTTGCTTGCCATTCTTGCATTGGAGAGCCCCTCCCTGTTGAATGGTAGACCTTCAATGCGGGAACAGGCCTCCTGCAACAGACTGGAGAAGTGTAGCCAGGCATGCCTCCTTAATGCCACCTAATCAATCACTAGCTTTGTTACCATAGTCCACCGAGTACCTGGCTGTGTTGAATTCCCCAGAGAGGTCCGCCTGGCGCAGTCGTTATTTGTTTTTCGGTGCCAGGCGAAGACCTTTTTATTTATGCAGCATTTTAAATGTTAATATTATTGAATTTTATTCGGCCAGGGCAGCTTATTTTATTTTACTGTATATATTTTAATTGTCATTGTTTTAATGTATTTTGTTATTCGATGTTGTAAGCCGCCCCGAGGCCTTGGCAAGGGGCGGCATAGAAATGTTTTAATAAATAAATAAATAAATAAATAAATAAATAAATAAATATTCTTGACAGGAGAAATGCATGGCTTCTCTTTAGAACACTCTGGTGAGCTCCCTTTAGTCTTCTGATAAGTGGTAAACAAAGGGAGCAAATCTCCCAGAGGAAGAGCTGGTAGTGAGCCATGGTGGCCTGACAGTTCACTATCCACAGTCCCAGAGCCGAAGAGGAGGAGATGTGCCTCCTCATCAAATCCAGGTGGCATCCTGCTCTGTCCACTGGCACAGAAAGCTCACAACATGTCCTCCCTGGGCTGACTCCACAATGACAGAATTTGGTTGAGGATGCTGAAATAGGCAGGTTAGATACTTTTCCTGCACTCTACACATATTTTTCAGGAGTTTCAGTGTAAATGTGACAGATGATAGAACCCTCCATACCTGCTGCGCCATCTGCAGCAGCAATGGCAGGAATATTGTCACTGGCATCAATTCCTCTGTGTGGACTGCATCAAAGACTGTGCACTTCACCCTCTCTGTTTGCTGCTGAGTATCCAGTCCAAGAGACTGGGCCACCCTCAAGATTTGTTCAGAGAAATGATTCATATCCGCTAATGAAGAAGCAGGGTCTTCAATTCCCACAGCCATATCTAGAGAGACAATAGTTGGGTCCACCAACTATTGTTTGCATACCACCAATGGGAGGCTGAATTAGGGGAGTAGTTTTCCAATAGAGGAGATGGTGGCCATGGTCTGGAGTGTATACAGGAAGGAAAGAATGATTGGCTTAGTGGCACAGTGGAGGTAGAGACAAGTTCTGGGGGTCTCTGAAAATCCATAGGTGCAGAAGTTGGCACCTGTAATCTTGGTGGCAGAGGTGGAGACATTTGGAATGAAGGCTCTTCTAAGATACGCTTCTTCCTTCTAAAGTGGGGTTCAGGATGGAATGGAGGATCATAAAGTGCTTCCTGGTCATGAGGATATCCTCACAGATTGTAGTATCCTCAGTATAGAGGTGAGGCAGACCATTCTGCCAGATTTGTCTCACTGACTTTTTTAGCCAACTTCTTGGTCTTTGAAACCTTTAGAGACCAACCAGAGGTTAGTGGTGCAGTCTGGTCCATAACTAGAGCACCAACTGTAACAAGCACAGAACAAGACAAGGCTGATTCCTCCAAGGTGTACTGATGGTCTCTCTCCACTGAATTTACCATTTGGAGCACCTTGTTCCACAGCTCTGCCCTAAAATGAACCACCCTGTTCCTTTGTAAAGCCTCACTATAAGGTCACAAGTTGATGTCATGACCCTCTTCAAGATACAGGGAATATCTGTCAGTTGGCTTGCTGCCTCATTGGACAAACTTATGAAAAAGCGCCTTGAGTGTCATTAGAAAGGAAATGAAGGCAAATAATGAGAGAAGGAAACAACATAGTTGAATAGAGTCCAAGAGACTCTTTCCAAGGGAAAGTGTAAAGAGATTAAGAATGCAGGGAAAAGGAAGAAATATGGAGACAGTTGAGTTGTAGGCAGGTTACAGCTGTGAGGGGAAATAGAGTATGGACATTAAGAATTGCTAGAGAAAAGAACTTCTCAAGGCACCAAAAAGGCAGTCAAAGAAGAACTGAGGGAAGGAATGGGAACTCCATATACTGCTGCTCCATATACTGCTATACTCCATTAGGTCTCCCACCAAACATCTCTCAGCTATAGAATCTTCCCATCAACAGGCTCCACACAGGTGCAGAGTCCATGTGTGTGATGCACAAGGATCATGAAAAAAGAAAACTTAAGGACTGCTTTCTCCTGTATCAACCTGCATGGGTGTCAAGCTCTTTCACCAAAACCATTATCAGAATTCCACCAATTATCAGAACTCAAGAAGGACCTTTTCCACTGGTGGGGCTCCAGTTATAGACTTCCTTTCTAAGTACTGACATTACCTTTTTGTGCCAGATTAAGGCTTCATTATCTCCAGTATTTTAAATGAAATGATCTTTTAAGATGTAATGGAAAGAAAACTTTATAACTGCATCATTTGCTGTCTAAGTTAATTTTAAACTTGTGAATGTGAAAAGTGCTTGTGTTTTAAATGTGGTTCTTGTAGTATTACTTAATTGTATTTTATTGTAATTTCCTATTGTCAACAGGACTGGGATATATTTGCATGAAACTTGGCATGAAAATATGTTAAAGCAATTATTTTGTTGGATAATTCTTCTCCAGATCAAGCAAAGAATGTGTTAGTTTAGAGAAGGAAACTTTTCACATTGTAGAGCAAGTGTATGTTATTAAAGTGTACACTTAATCTAGTAACACAGCAAGGAGATGCAAGCAAGCAGTCATACCACAATCAATTCCATAGCAGGAAGAAAATGGGACAAAAAGGTCTGTACCTTTAGTATAGTAAATTATTATGGACAAAAGAAAGCATTCCAGACATGCAAATTCTGTAACAATAGATTTCTGGAGGAGGACAAATTCTTTCTATAAAGTTAGACTAAGGAAGCCGTCATTAAGAATTCAATCTTAACTAGGACAGATACAAAGAAGTACAGTAAGCACACTGAAGCTTAGTATATTCACTGATGATTAAAGACATTATAGATATTTTCTGAAATGCTATCAATGTCCGCCACTGTTAGAAGTGAGTGGAAGAGCTGTTCAATACATTAAATTATAATCATTACAAAATTAATTCACAATACATAAAATATTTCCTTAAATTCCATAGAATTAAAACAGTACTAGACCAATATTTTAGAAAGTTATTCTGGCCAATTCACAGTACAATCCCATGGCAGGTCATAAGATTCTTCACAATAAAAGCCAACCCAAACCCTTGTAGCCCATGTGGAAAGAACCATGCCAGATGACCCTACCAGGCTGCAACTCAACCTTGGGGTGGGGGGCATGCCAGGAGTAGGATGGGGTAAAGGCTGGAGTTCCAGACTCCAACTGATTCCCAGTGATATTTCGGCATCCTTCTCTCCCCATTGCAAGCCCTAAATCTAGGTGGCCAAAATAATTCATCTAAAGAAAATAGCTGGCTTTTGTGCATCTGCCCCATTCAGAGGTATCTATGCATCTGTACTGGGAGTGACAGGACTGAGTCCTTACCAGGTTACATTCATTATATTAGTATTTAAAATATGCAAATTCATCATTTTTTAAAAAAACTATTGATCCTTCATTGTTCTTCATTGTCAGTTGTATTTGGAAATAATAAAACAAATTATGGAGACATCATAGAACCAGAACAGTAAACTTCAAGAACATTGGGAAGACAGATAGCAAAATCTAATCTGTGTTTTAAGATTAATTAGCTAGAATAGTGGCACAGTACCATAAATCTTAATAGTATATTTAGTATAAAACAAGGTCTGATGCCAAAATACTGGACAAAACTCTAGCTGCTTGACCAGCTGCCACAGTAAAATTAAAAGCATGGATAAGTTAATATTCAGAAACAAGCACAGCCTCTTGCTTTTAGGTATGTCACTTGAAACAAAGATACTGGGGGGGGGGGTTACTAAGACATAAGCAAGCTACACAGTATCCCATTTTCTTGTCCAATATTTTATTTCCTCACATTTAATGTTAATATTTAATAAATATACTAATTAGAATGGAGTACTTGAGAGCTCTGTGATTTCAAGAAGTCAGAAATCGATACAAGAGAGTGTATCGGGATAACTACTAAATATCACAGATACAGTTACCCACTTTTGAACAGTGGGAGTTATAAATACACTAGTAGTACTTACAGGATGGACAAGTTTCTGAGTTAAGAAGCCTACAGTCCATCCTGTAAAGTGGAAGCACTGGGAAACATTCCTATTTTGCTTACCAGTCAAAACCACAACTATAGCAATGGATTAATTTTTTAAAAAAATACAATTTAATATACAGAGCTTACCTTCACCTAATGCATTAATTGCTTCCACCTTCTTTTCATTGGCCTGGTCCATCATCTCTTCTGTTACCTAAGGAGGAGAAAGGCAAAGAGAATGAAATCTAGAATTAACCCAAAATATTTGCAGAATATTTGGAGAATATTGCTAATGTCAGAACATTATTGTTAACAGTACAAGAAAGAGTATCAGTATTCAAATCAATCTCAGAAGGTGTTTAGAAAAAATATCTGTTACCCTCCTAGATATAAAAAAGAGTTAAAATGTATTGTTGCATATGTGAATATTGGTGGCCTATATGCATGCGAATTAGTTAGGTGCCTTTAATACAATTAAGTCAGGAGGTGCAGAACATCAAGCCAACAGGACACAGCAGTTTTTTGAAGGACTACTCTCAATGCAGTCTTCCTGCCCCCACCCCACCGCTCCAATGTCCACATTCAAGTCACTGGCCATTTAGCTTTTCCCCAGATTTTCCCCCCTCACATTCTAAAAGACTGAAATGCCTCTAAGGCTTAATTACTGGCAGTAAATATGCAAAGCTACACTACTCTAATATTTCATCCCTACTCTTGTCTTTAGCTTTTTAAAGCTTTTTTTAATGGCTGAAAGAGGTTCTGCACATCTACTTTAGAGTAATGTTTATGCTGTATGAACAAGAAATGTAGGTTGGTTGATCTAAAATGTCAACTAGAGTTTTACAGAGAATTCCAAACTTAATGAAACATGCTTACCTCAACACTTTCATCTCCCATTGCTTGAGGTTCATCACTGTCTGGTTCAATCACTCCTTCATTGTCAATTTCTGTAAATAAACAGCAGTAATTAGAGGAATCCCACTTCTTTCACACAAGAGGAAAAAAGAAGGCGAGAAAAAAATCAAGTTGCCATAATTTTGCCAGAGAGACTATGCAATAATGGTAACTGACCTAAATCACTCTCTTCACTCTCAGGCTCTGGTGGTTTTGGTGGTTCTTCTGGCTTCTTTTCTTCTGGTTTTGCCTAATGGAAAAAAGTAAGTATTACAACAATCTCACAAAACGTCCCTCATAGGAAGTGCATTATCAGTCTAAATTTTAAAACTGTTCTACTGTTTTTCAGAAATGTACTTTCTTACTCAGATAAGTTTAAAAATTAGAACTGGTGTAAGCCATGTCCTAAGATTCCCAGGGATAAAGGGGTTCCACAAGCCTGCATTCTCACTCCATTACTTTAAAACTTTGATATTAATGAAGTCATTTTTGTTTACAGACAAAATTTTCATATGCCAAAGATCCTTGATAGACTGGTTAATCGAGTATCTGCAGGTAACATTATCTTACTGTCTGTTACACTGTCTTTTCATCTATGGGAACCTGGACATTCCAAACCTAGAAAACTGAGTTGAAAACAACTCTGAATAGGCTCTTAAATTATAGGGACACTGGCTCAGTTCAATTCGTCACAAGAGTAAACAAAACATAGGTGTTGCCAGTTCTGACATTTGGGGTTTTGCCAATAACAACAAAACTGAAAGGGTCCAGAATCTCTTCTTACTTTCAATTTTAGATGCTTCAAGATCCATACCAACACATGCAATCAGAAGCAAATTTGGAATAGATGCAGTCCTAGACCTGATCCATCTTAGGCTATTAAAGCTACTAGGTAGTAGCTAGGTCAAATGAGTGACACCAGGCACCTTAAGAAATGCCTGAATGAGCAATGGCCAAAAAAATGGGTAAAATCTTAATTTGACCATTTTTAAAAATAGCTGTCAAACTCTGATCTTACTTTGGAGGCTCTAACACTTCTGCTCTTAATGGAAGAAAAATGTTTTTAAACAGAGATTACTAAACACTAGAGGTGCAGGTGGACATAGCTGCCATGTCAAATTCAAGGTCTATAAAATGACAGGCAAACTCTAACACCCAATTTCAAGAAGATCTCTCCTTCCCAATGAAGCTTGCCACATACCATTGAAAAAAGTTAGACTTTCAATTAATCTATGAAGATCTTGAAATTTATATAGTAACACTAAAATACAGAACAATAGGAGGCATCATCAGAAAAAGAGCACCTCTGACAGACAAGCTATTTAAGTCAGTGAAGACGAATATTCACTGAAGACAATTCTCAGTAGCACTGTTGTCAGCAGTGATTCAGAAAGCTGTGAAACTAATTATGCTAATTTATGCACTCAAAGGTATGGTATGTTTGTGTTTTCCAAAGTGTAGAACCTCTCCCACATGACACAACTTTTGTAGATGAATGTTGTAAATAAGGATAATTTTTTAAAAGAAAAAAATAAGCATACAAATCCACAAGTGGCTCTTCTGGGCTGTATTCCAACAAATAAGCAGAAAAGTTTGTGAAGTGGTGGGTAGGTGAGAATTAAGGGCTATTTCTCACAACAAACACTCATTCACACACAGGAAAAAAAGGAAATCAGGGCTACTCATTTTGCTATTAACTTTGTAGATCTGTTACCTACGTATCTCTAATCAGCACTACTCAATCCTCTGCTGTTTTCTGCTTCTCAAAAAATGAGCTCCTAATTTCTCTTATGGAGAAGGGGACTCCTCCATGCAAACCCTCTGCTCTGGCAATGCAAAAGCAATGAAGCCAGAACTTCTGTTCTCGGCAACCCACACTGCTGCCAACTGGAAAGTTTCACTCACAATGCACAGCATTTGAAAGCACTAAGCTGAGCCAAAGGAATATACCTTTGACTGTTGGTCCAGTAGACTGCCATTGTAAACTGTCAGTTCACATTTATTTATTACATCTGTGTACAGATAAAAAACATATATACAGTGCTCCCCAGAGTTGTAGTTTTTAATGAAACTGATACAAGTTTTGATTGCAACTTTTTGGTGGTGGGGGGTGGGTGGGTTTTGACATGTTTTATCTGTTATATCTGACACTGCCTTTTATTATTTATTTTTAATTAATTCTATTTATTGTTTATCATTTTACTTTGTGAGCTACTTGAGAAGTTTTGCATCCTAATAGGCTGCCAAGAACTGTTTTAAGGAAAGAACATGTAAAGGAGGAGGAGCTGAGCAGACACAATTTCTAAAAGCACAACAGAAAAGGAAGCTTTTAACATGCTTCCAGAAGGATGACAGAGAGGGAGCTACAGGATTCCTGAGGGAGGACATTTCACTGGAAGGTAACCTGTACCTCATGAAGGACAACATGACCTTCATAGACTCTGTGGTATTCTGAACAGCATATAGAAGACCTACAGAGTCTTTATACAGACCTGACTGCCATGGAAACAACCAAAAATGAACACTATGTATCCTGGGGTATGCATAAAGAGGGTCTGAGTCATTCTTAATCAGCTTATTGACACATAGGCAGGGATACAGGCTGCGATCTCTAGCAACCTAATTTTTATTTTTTGCATAGGAGGTCAATTTTTACATCAAACTGTTCCGTAACCCAGTAATTTTATGCATATGCATAAAAGCATTCATCTCAACAAATTCCTCTCTTACCTCAGCAGTCTTTTCTGCAGAAGTGTTGCATGGTGCTGGTGGTATTGTTCCTCCCATGCTTTCCAATGAAAAGCAAAACAAGTGAGATATAAAGTTTGACACTGTTTGTATTAAGGTAAACAACAACATAAACTGCTAACTAGATAATGGGTGGTTTGGCATCTCACACTAACTGATGAACAGAACAGAACAACCCACAGTGCACCTGACAGATGATCAACTTATTATGGTTTGTCCCTACACTCCTCCTCCAGCCCTCCAAGAAGTATCCGAGACTCAGCAACTACTTTTCTCTTTGCAAACTGATTGTAAGCCCCTCTTCACTAACTGTAGCTTTTTTCACCATTATTACATTGTGCTTCTTCTCATTATTATGTTATTCTTCCAACAACCACCCTGTGAAGGTTGGGTGAAGAGTCCTTGACTGGCCTAAGGTCACCCACTGAGTTCATGGCTAAGTGGGGACTAGAACTTAGATCTTCATTGTCAAGGACCCTAACCACTGCATCACACCCTTTTTTATTTTTTGTTGCAGGGGGGAAGATTACTTTTTGCAATTTTTGACAGTTCCTCCAACATGATAAAGCAGCACAAAAGGAGGACTGCTCCTGGTTGTCCTTCTTTTTAATTATTTACTGGAATATGGACAGCTAGCTATTTAAACAATGGAAGCAGATTCTTTTTTTAAACAATGGAATATGGACAGCTAACCATCAAAACAATGGAAGCAGATTCTTTTTTTGTCAAGAGTTGATAACATTGATAACATTCTTATCAATGTTGATAAGAATATAAACATAAGTAAATGCATGTATCTCTGTTAAAGAACCCTGATTAGCCCTGTCAAAAAACACCTCTTTTAAAAGGAAGCATGCTCCCATAAACTAGATAGCTTGCACTTTCCCACTTTTTTTTCCAGTGTGGAAAAAAGTGAAAATGTTGGGGAAAAGTCCAACCACAGATCCTGGAATATCTCACTGCAAAGGGTTATCTACTAATCACCCTCTTTCATAAGCAATGATCACTCATGGCTTGCTTTTCCCTTGACAGTTCATCTTTCAAGAGCTGCTAAGAAAATGCAACATAGAAAATGAACCCATGGCAGATTCTGAGTAAATGCCCATGGTAGGTGCCTGCTGTAGTCTGACAGCAGACACTTCCCCAGATATTGCTCAGAAAAGGCTTCCCATTTCAGACTCCTGTAAGTGTGCAGTTCTGCACTTGCACAAGTCCAGCTAAACAAGCTTTTTAAATATAAGCAAAAATGTGCATGTATTTAGTAATTTTTTAAATGGGCACTGAACCACAGACAGCTCCTCCAACAACATGCAGATTGGGTACTCTGGAGCAGCTGTCACTGGCTGTCAACTTAAGAATCATGAAAAGCAACATATGAAAAGTAAAAAGGACAGAGTTCAAATTTAAACTGTAATTTGTGGAGAAAGCCCAAGCACACATTAATAGTAGAATAAGAACTCCTTTCTATAAAGTAAGTGGTATGCAAAATAGCCCTACTACCTTTCCTAGACTAAGAAATAGAGATACTCAGCTCCTTTAAACCATTTCATACTTGTGCAGTTTATCTCCAAAACATCTTTATTTGGCTTTCAGTTGCCCCAGTATGTATAAACAAAAAAATTCAAAGGGATTACAATAACATAACTCCCTAAATGACTTGGGGCCAGGCTATCTGAGGAAATGCCTATCTCTAAGTGTACTGATCTGATCACTACAGTCATTGAGGCCCTCCTCTGTATTCCTCCTCCTAATGAAGTAAAAGGGGAGATAGCAAGAAAGAGGGCCTTTTCCATAATAGCATCCCAACTGTGGAATTCAATCCCACTGGAGATTAGGTTGCATCATCCCTTTAATTCCTTTAGACACCAACTAAAAACATTCCTGTTCCACGACTATTTTGATGGGTGAATTGGTAGGTTTCTAAGGGTTTTTACTTTAACTGTCTGTCAGATCATAATTTTAGTGCCAGATATTTTATTTTGTTAATTTATGCATGATTCTATTTCACTTTTCTTCAGCTTGTTTTAACTGGTTTAATACTTCTTCTCATTTTATGTCCCTTCTCATCTTATTTTGATATTAATCTAATTGTTTGTTTTAGTATATTTATTGAGATTATTATTATTGGTTTTACAGCAAATTGTGAATTGTTTTGATTGTCTTGCATATGTTGTGAGCTGCCCAGAGAGCCTTATGGCTAATGGGACAGCATACAAATGAAATCAAAAAAATAAGTATGTCCACCTTCCTAAGCCACTATTTTGCATCTAGCTCTCTAATTGTGCACCTAAGGCTTCCAGTGAAAAACAAAGCAGATCAAACAAGTCTGAAGTTTACCCAACCATTTTGTGAAACACTTCAGACATGATAATAACAATTGCCATATCCTTAAACAGAACATTCAAAGCAAAACAAAAATTACTTAAAAGAAAATTCAACTATAGTCTAGCTTCTCTTTCAAGGGAATTTGAGGAAAGTAACTACTAAACTAGATTTATGCTTATCCTATTCTATTTCAATTTTCAACACATTCATTAGAAAGATTCTTAATATGCAAAAACATATTAATGCTATTTTTTCAATCCTATGATGTGTTATGCATGTCTAAAAGATGCAGGGGCTCCATGTTCTGAAAACCTTATGGACAAATAATCTATGCATTTTTTAAAAAATCACAACTATCCCAAAAGGTACCTCAAATGATCTAATTCCACCTTTCACAAAGAAAATCTATGTTACCCATGAGCAGACATAGCTTCGGCTAGAGACATAATGGGCCAACTTGATTTTTTTTACATTTCTCCATGCCAATTTGAAATGCATGCTTTTTCATTGTCATGGAATCACACTTTCATTTAATATCTCAAAAAATGTTAGCCTGCTTTCAATAGAATCAGTATTACAATGTGGGCTTTTATTCTTGAATATGAAACAAACCCCTATATTAACTTCAATTTTAATTCTCTAGAAAGTGGTTGGTTAAGTAAATGGCACTCTTGGCAAGGTCTGAAACCAGACCTGAAGTTATAAAAAGGATTTAAAGAACAATCTGGAAAATCTTAAGCAATTTTGCTGCTGTGCACAGTGAAATAGGTAATCCAATTAACTGCTTTAAGGTCTAGAAATTTGTTTATAACAATATGAAAGAAATCTGGCCTCTTGTAGCATTACAGAAATTGACTTCTAAAACTCAAGTCAATAATATCCTGTTTGTTATGCGGTTTATGTTACCTAATTTCAATTAAATAGTTAAACACTTTTTCTGGAGAGTAAAACTTTGCTTTTCTCAAAGAAAATAACTTCAGTCGAAAAATTTGCAAAATATGCTGTCACACAGAGAGATGATGCACACATTGCACTGTATGAAAAAGCTCTGCAACATGAATTTACCATCTATCCCAACATCATTCGTACAATTGGTAAAAAGTGCAACGACCTTCACACTTGATTAAAAAAGTCCTCTTCCTCACCTTACAAAAGTGTTTATGTAAAGAAAAAAAAATGTTCTAATGCAAACGGTCCTAGCAGTAGCCACGCTACAGAACACGTGTTCAATATAAGGGTCTGAAAGCCTTCTTGGACGAGAAGGTGGAAGACTGGAAATGCTTCCGATGACTCGACTAGGCCTTCAGCCCTGGAATTCGACAAATTGTCAGCCAAACGGTCTCTGATTCAAGAAAAGGGTTTAAAAAATAAACAAACAGCAGGCGCCCCATATAGCTAATAAGTATCCTTTCTTCTCAAGAATTACCTATTTTCCGAGCACCACAGAAGTGCCTAGCAAAAGGGCACGCCAAGTCCAACGGTCCTTGTTTTGCAAGTTCTGCTCTGGCTACCCTACGACAGCAGAGCCACCCCCAACCTTAACCCTCATGTTCCTCGACATCCCACTGCACGAAAGAGCAGCTCACATAAACCTTTTACGCCGAAAATAAGGAAGGGGGGGGGGAGACAGTACGAGGAAAAGAGAAAGCGGGAATAGCCACCACTTCCCCCTCCCCACCATCTACTCCCCTGCCGAACGGCCAAAACGGATTTTGGCACTCTCACCTTTCCACCCACTCGCGGAAGAAACGCATCTCTTCAGCGTGCAGGACGGCCGGATTCTGCTTGCAGAGTTTCACGAAGGCCCGCAGCTCGTTCAACTTCCGCACGTCCATGGCTTGCAGGTCCCTCACTACCACACCACACCTGCTGCTGCGGCCACTGGAGCTTCGTTCCGAGAGGAGTGACGAAACTTCCAAACCTCACTAGCTCCAGGCCCCGCTGTCACGCGCACCTCAACTCGGCCACGCGCCCCTACCCGATCCGCCCCGCCCACTTCCAGCTTTTCTCGGTGGCAGCCCCTCCTTCTCGCCCGCTGGCCTTCCCCACGCCTGAGAGGTTCCCCCTGCCACGCCTCTTCTTCCACTCCCACAACCTACCCCTGTGGCCCCGCGGTCGGGTGAGGGGACTAGAATCTTCTAGAAATGAAAGTTAAGTCGCCCAAGTCGCTGCCTCTTTCCATTGTCCTGTCCACCCGTTGTTCTCTCCTTCAGTGCGCATGAGGAAAACAACCGTCTTTCACTTTCTTTGCCATAGGAATGAAAGAGTCAACCATAAAGTCGTTCCCAGAACACGGCGCGGGGGAACAAACAGGCGTTTTACTTAGCCACCTAAAAAAAAAAAGCCGCCACCAATCATTCTCGTAAGCTAAGCCAATATCTGCTTGAAGTAGGCGAAATAACGTCATCAGGCTTCGACGCAGCACCGATAAGGTCCTCTAAACATGCGAGATTTCTCTGTCAGCCTGGTGTGGAAAGGCTGGTTATGCTAGGCAGTATAAAGGCTTGGGAAAGAGGAAAGGCGAGGAGGAGTAGGGGAGTTGGTATTTCTTCTGTGATCGCACTAAATTGCTGGGTGCTTTCTGTACAGGCAGGGGGCTCAACCATGGTGTGGTTCCCAGTACAGAGGTTAATGCAGCCTGAAAAGGGTATGTGAAGCTTTTCGGGACAGAGGCTTTTCCTTCTAAAAAAAAAAGTTTCCTTAGTCTTGGGGAGGGTGAAGACTGCTTGCTCCGGGCACCCACTTGGACCTTTCTAAATTATTAGATATCTATTGTTCCCTCTTTCGATTGCGTATAGCTCGGGTTAATTTCGGTGGTGAACCACAGAACGCTGATAAGGCCATATTGGTTTAACTGGAAGATCTCATGTAAAACCGGAGTAGGTTTTCAAAGGGGTATAGTTGCTAAAAACAACTTAAACTTCTACATTTATAACTGAAATCATAAAAGAGAACACCGTTTTAAAAGAATATGCTCCTTTTAAGTCTAAATAACTACCATAGTAGAACTTGTCACGTATTTTGACACTCTTCGTGGCTCAAGTTACTATGGCCATGATTTGGAAAAGTTTATGTAGTTACATGCCTTTGCATGGAAATTTATGAGGCTAAAAAGTGTTTTACTCTCCTGGATTACTTCTTAATGTGCGTCCCCTGGATTACATGTTAATGTGCCTTTCTGTGGGACTAACTGGCCCTTAAATTCATTCAAACTTGTGGTTTCTTGAAGGACTAATGCCCTTTTTATTGTTCCCTAGACATCAGATAAGGTGCTTCATGGTCACGTTTGAAAATTCTGGCTCATCGATGTGTACTTTCCCTATATATTTGTGCAGTTATATATAAGCAAATAAAATTATTCATTGTTGCAAAGTCTTAGTCTTATGTTTATCATACTTACTGTGAATCACTGACCATTGACCAAAAAAGCTTCCACATCAGAAGGAGTAAATTTTAGTTACATATTGATCTATGTTATATGTTTTAATTGAGAAGAGTAAGATAATTCTAGTTCTTAACATATTTTGATTCTGTATTATATGTCATCTTCTAAAATATAAATGTGGAAGATACTAATATGGTAAACTCATGTCATACAAAGGTATGCCACCACATCTCCAAAGCTTAAAGGATGCTACTTTTTAAAGCTTTTAGTATGCTTTAATTATTCCTTTCTAATGTAAAAAGAAACCAAAACATTTATTTCCTAATCTTATGCAATTTAAAATATGGCTAGCTTCACTGAAATTAGCTATTTAGGCATGTCCAACTTTACATAAGGTCATATTGTAATTGTACACACACTTGTGTGAGAATTTTCATTTAAATCTGGATTTAAGGCTAGAGTCCTGAACATCCTTTCTGGGGCTGACTGAATGTAGTGGGAGTTGCAGCTGATTAAGTATATATAAGACCAGACTGCAAAAAAGCATAAAAATATACATGGGCTTTTCTTTTGAGTAAATCTCTTTCTAGATAATAGTAAAGGTTGCAACCCCCTTCATACTTGGCAATTTGGCTCATTACATTCTGTGGGATCTACTTGGTAAATATGCATAAGACCAAGCTACTTGGTGGCAGACTTAATTATATTTTAGTTAGAAATGTCCTACTAAAATTTGAGTATATATTGTATAGTATAAGACTGAAGAGCTGTAATCCCAGGCAGATTTGATAGGAAATAGTAATTAGGGAGTTCCCAGTGTCTTGCCTGGCAGGTAGTTGTAGATGTAGTTTCTTCCACTTTTCTCTGCATTGCACTCATAATGCATCATAACTGGTATTTTTATATATACATTAGGTTGTTGACTGTTATGATTTTAGTAGTTTATTCAAATGTTTTAGTACATGAAACAAATTCTTTCCAAATAATTTTTTTTAATTCTGAAAACACTCTTAAATTCCAGGGTTGTATCATTAGTCTATTGTTAAAGTGCATTGAGAAGTGGGCTGAAAAATGTTTTAGTGTTAAGTAATACTCCTACAGAATTCCAGATAAAGAATCACTGCAGTTACCTTTCAGAAAAAAAGTCTAGAATCCTCATGAAATGCATATTACTAAAAAAAAAAGAGCAGAATTACATACTTGACATTTCCATTTTTTCTCTCTGTGTAGCTTCTAATACAGAATTCAGTTCTCACCATTTGTTTTGATTAGACATCATATATAATTTTTGTGAGCTAAATGCATCCCTAAAATACGCACCCTTTCATTCCCTGAAATGACTGGTTCCAGTCTCTCCCAGGGAAATGTTTTAGAGACTTTCTAGAGGATACCAGGTAACTTTTTGTAAACATTCTAATGTCACAGTTAGTGCTACAGCCAAGGCATTTGCCACCTTAGTAAAGGAAATAAACTGAGGATAGAAAATATTTCGGGGAACAATTATAGGCATGTTAAGACAAAAAGAGTTCTACAGCTTCCAACATTCCCCAGCTGGAAAGTTGTAGGACTTATGTCTTTCTAAACATGCATTCCCCTTGTTCTTAAACTTATTTCTGAATGGCAAAAAAAAGACTTTTTGCAATGGCATGCTGTCTAGAACTCATGTTTATAAATAAATCTTGAAGTTCAATACAGCTGTTTTCTTTTAGGCTGCAAGTTCTGTTTCTTTCGGAAATTGTCCATTCAGCCTGTTCAACAGAGGAAGATTCCAAATAGATACCTAGGTCAGCCTAGTCCTTTCACACATCCACATCTTCTCAAGCCAGGTAAGTATATCATTGCAGTACAGTTCTAAGTTTATGTACTCAGTAATAATCATATGCAGTGAGATTTGCACTTAGACAAATATGTATAGGAGTAAAATCAGCAATACTGTTTTTTAACTCTGTTATATTACTTTAAAGAAAAAACACAGAAAAGAAGGCAATTATACATCTTTTGTGTAATTTCTGCTTATGACCCCTTATGTTCCAGCTTAAGTAACATTTCCTGAAATTCCTAGGGTGCATCATCCCTAGGTATGCGTTTTTTGAAGCAAACATGACATGCAAACTAGGTGATTACAGATAAAGCTAGCAAATTAATCCTATGTAAATACCGCTTTCGTTTAGCTGCAGTAACAAAAATGTCAGTATATCTTCTGGGTACTTGGGTTGATGTTACACTATAGAGATTGGTATTGGAGTGACATCTGGACTGTGTAGGGTTAGTGTTTTTACTGACCACCAACAAAGCCTCCCACATTTACCCTGGCTTGCAGTCTGGTGAATATAACTACTTCTATCTGGAAGCCAGTTCATACCAGCAAGCCAGTCAAATATTTTTGGTTAATGTATTATGTTATCATCTACTGGGGCAGCAGGTAGACAACTCTGATTTTTAAGCCAAACTGATTCTCATATTTTAAAAGTACTTTTCTATTGAAAAAAAATATTTTAAATTCTGTTTGGCTAATGCTCATAAGTATCATTTGCAGTTGTGCAACAAGTCTTTGAAAGGTTTACTAAGTTAATAAGTTGAGAGCCATTCTGGTTAAGGGAATAGGATAGCAGTTTCAGGTTTAGCTCTGGCAACATTAAAAATCAAAAGTAATCTTATGATTGATTAAGTTTGCTGTGTATTTATGAGTTTTAGATGAACTTCTGACTTTCCATTCCTTGAAAACATAAGGCAAATCTTACACAATTAGACTGATGTACTGTCTAGTTTCAAACTATAGGCACCAATTTGCCTGCAGACACTTTTCTTGGAGATTACAAGTCTCCTTGATCCTCCTGATTTTTAGCTTGAGATTTTTTTAAATTGAGAGATTGGCAGTCTATAAATGAAGTGTTGGCCTTTGGTACTATCTTGATTTCCAGGAATGGCTCTGCCCCCGCCCCCCAGTGATCTGTGGCTACATCCTAGTGCTTCATTTTAAAGTGCATCCTCCTGACTAGAAAAAAGAAAAAAATAAGTTGATGGGTAATGGAACATGTCCTGAGAAGCAAAGAGGATGTGGTTCCTGTCCTGTGTGTGCATTGCCTGTTTATGGGGAGTGAGTTGGCATGATTTTTATTTTGCCTGAGTTTTTGTGTATGTGGTATGTTTTGCCTTCAGTTTTTGAGAAGAGCCATTTATCTAGTGGAAGTACCTGCTAATGGAAGCAGGGAGGTGATTTTCACAGATTCCTCCCTTCCCAGGCTGTTATCTGTGCCTATCCCCCAAACACTGGAACAGATTTTTAGGCATGAAGAGTCTGGAAAGAGGATTGAGGAAAGTTGTTTTCCTCCTTTTTATTAACAGGTGCTGAAGGTGTCCTTTCCTTGAGCAAAATTCAATTCACTGGACCCAATCATATTATATATGAAAGAAAAACCAAAAATAGAGCTTGTCTAAATGAAATAAGCAACTGAACATGATATAGACCTAAAAATTTGAAGATTTTAACAATAACAATAAAATGCTGAAAGTGTGATCATAAATTATTTGGAAGGATATCTTTTATCTTCATTGGAAAATGCTTTCAAGTAAGTTTGCTTAAAATTGTAGTCAAAGGGTTCAGTTCTCCCATCAGTCATGTAAACATTAAATTCCATTAACTGCAATAAGGTGTATGAGTGAGTAACTATATACAGGATTGTCATTTAGATTATACCAAGAAAATACCTTACTTGCAAACAGCAGCTCTTGTGTCTTCAGTCCAGTTTTGTTCAGACTTTTGTCTTTTGCACTTTGCATTCTTTGAAGATAAATGTGGATGAAAGATTAAACCTGATATTCCAAAGGAGAGAGGTTGCAGCTATTAGGTACATAGCTTATAATACTAACAATAGTCCAGCTTATTATTCAGTTAGACGTTCTGTGTTTCTTGAAGACATTGTCTTGAGTGGTCAAATATCCTTTCTGACATCACTCTGAAAGGGAGCAAGCAAGACTGTTCTTGTCTGTTCAATGTCCAGAAGCTATAAAAATTTATTATTTCAAGTGGGTTAAAGGTTACCTCTTTTTTTTTCCTTCCTTTACTACTCACATGATGATCTGTTTTCATCATGGGGGTAATATTTCAGTTTAGCTTCTGGAATGACTTGAGTTCAGATTTGTTTAACAATTTTTTTTGCATTCATGTTAATAATTGATGACTTAGGGTGAAATCTTGTAGAGATGTCCATAATCCTCCAAAGTTGGAAGATTATAGGCATTGTGTGCAAGGTAGGAGAGTTCTCCCACCACTCTACAAAGCACTTAGTTCAGAGTCTTGGGGCCATAGGATTGCTTTGCCCATTAATTTCAAATGGGACATCCCCTGTGCATATAGCAGAACATTATGGTGAGGACATAGAAAATTGGAGTAGGTATAGAATATTAATGAGCAGGAAGGGCAAAGTGAGGTGTAAGGTAGGGTCAGGTGAGAGTAGTAATAATATATATGAATGGAAATTTGAGAATAACCTCAAGTTTTTGAGGTTACCAACATGGCTAACTTTATATTTTGAGGTTACTGTAAAATAGTAAAAACCAAGTTCAGCAACATGAAAAGGTGGATTTGTACTTTTGGTTTCTGTTCGCAGGAGAAGTAACACCAGGGTTGTCACAAGTGGAATATGCTCTCCGTAGACACAAACTGATGGCTCAAATACACAAAGAGGTGCCAAGAATGGACCATACAGTGATTCTGCTATCCAATCCCACCTACTACATGAGCAATGATATTCCATTCACCTTTCACCAGGACACGAACTTTCTCTATCTATGTGGGTTCCAGGAGCCTGATAGTATCTTAGTTCTGCAGAGTGTGCCTGGGAAACCCTTGCCATCCCACAAAACCCTGCTCTTTGTCCCACGACGGGATCCAAGCAGAGAGCTATGGGATGGGCCTCGATCTGGTACTGATGGGGCAATGGCTCTCACAGGTGTTGATGAAGCATATACTATAGAAGAATTTAGGCACCTGGTTGCTAAACTGAAAGGTAAGGAAAGGAAAATGAAATATGGAGTGATATGAAATCTAGAAGGGCCTATGAATTCTTGTGACTGTTTACTAGCAGGCAAAGGGTAGAGTGGTAGCAAGAGATAATGTCACACCTGTAATTCTTATGTTATATTTACTATCACTATAACCAGCTTTAGAAGGGGAAAATGTGAGAAACTATATTATCAACATTTCAGATTCTCATGTGGCTATTTATCACACATTGGTAAGTCATCTTAGACAGTACAAAATTAATGAGTGATGTCTTCAGAAAATGTTATTTCATTTGTCCTCTATTCGAAGGAAAACCTTTAGGGGGTCCCTTTAAGGTCACTCTCTTGGAGGAGTGACATACTTGCAAGGGAACCAGATATTTTAGGTTTCAGTCTTAAACATATTTAATAAGGAGTAAGCCCTATCAAACACAATATGGGTTACTTTTGTATAAATATTCATAGGCATATGCTATTAAAGGATAATTTCTTGATCTGTTGAGGTCCTTGTTATAGCATCTCTAATTTGAGGTTCTCTAATTTGGGATAATTTCCCAAGCAATGAGATATTTAAATTGTAAGAAACAATGAATTTCTGCTATAAGATCATCTTTGCTATGTTTTTGTTTTTATTATACATATGCAGGTTTGATTTTAGGAGATAGCAATAGGGGTTTTTTGCTGATTCTTTTCAGACAATTTTCAAAATACAATAAATTCAAGACATAACTTTCTGGACATTATTTCCTCCTTGAAATGCTATTATTTTTTTCTTTATCAGTTAATCCTTCAATCAGTGGTCCTCAAACATTTTCAGGCTACTGCCCCCTTTCCTCTTGAGTGACAAACATAGCACCCCCATGCCTCTTTCTTTGTATTAGGTCTATTTCTCTACTGCAAATTTAAAGCAACCAATCACCACCCGTCTGGATCTTTCCAGTGCTCACTTTGGGAATCACTGCTCCAAACCATCAGTTGTATATCATTCAGAGGAACTTGCAAGTTCTGAATTCCCCCAACTATGTTGAATAATTAAACTAACATGTTTGTATTCTGTTCACAGATGAATCTAAAATGGTTTGGTATGATTATGCTAAGCCTGTGCATCCACAACTCCATTCTGAGTACCTGCTGCACATGGCTGAGATCAAAGCTAGAAGCAAAAACCGTATCCAAGCCATCAGGCATCTAGTGCAAAACTTACGGTTGATCAAATCTGCTGCGGAGATTGAAAGGATGAAGATTGCTGGCAAGTTGACATCACAGGTATAGGACAGTGAAATAATGCTCAACAAAATGCTAAGAGAAAAGCTGTCATGGTAGTAGAGCTCCTGCTAAAAGGGACATGAGATGCAGAAGTCACTGGGCTACTTCTGGTAGGTTCCATTTGGAGACTGGTTCTTCTAAGTAAGTCATCCCAGCAGAATATTGTATTCCTGTATTTCATGGGAAAGTTTTTGTAAACAAGTATCAGAACCTAATTGCAATCTTTTATGTCTAACACAACATGAAAGATCCGGTGCTATTCAGCCATTAGCAGTATTTATGTTGTACTGGAGGGAAACCCATGTTATGTGATGTCAGCAGTACTTGATAGTTATGACTAGTGGCACAATTGTTGGTTTCCACTTGTGCAGCACCATTAGTACTAGCAACCACACTGTTGACTGCTTCTCAATAGTATTAGTCTCAAATGAATTACTGCAACAAATAAATTAAGAAAGAACTAAATAAACCTGTATTCCTTATTGTACTTAGCTGCTCCATTACATAGCTTAATTAGAGCCAAATTCATGAAATCTGGTAACATCATGTGGCAAGTTTTAGAATTTAATGATTTCAAACAGCTGTTAAGGGCATTGATGAGAAGCAAAAGTGGCTTTTAGAAAACTTTAAGAATTTGTTATGGAAATCACTTAGATACCTTGAGACAGGAGTAAACAAATTATGTTTTCATTTATCTTCTTTGACTATAGTCTTTTTATAATGATAAGGTCAAAGTTAGTAATTTCTTGGTAATTTTTTTAAGTGGAAATACTATAACTAGAATTACTGGCTAGTGATGCATCAATAGTTTCATTTGAAGCTGTAAGTGAAACAGTGCTGGGATAAAAACCTGCATGTGCCATTTTTTCAGATCAAGCACTTCATACTTGAGTCATTGGACATTAATAGGGAACCGCCTCCCTTTGAGAAGATTGTACTCATGCAAAACTTACTAAAGGAAAGCTATAAAATGTAAGATATACAGCTCTGTGAAAGAAAAAGAAATTAATAAGGATGTTGTCACAGAAACTAGGGAGAAGATTTCAGAATATATAGCTTCACATTTACAAAGAGGAAGTTTGCAGAACAATCTCATGCATGTCTGCTCAGAAGTAGGTTCCACTGAATTCAGCAAAACTTATTTCCAGTTAAGCATATATAGGATTACAGCCTAAATATTTTATTTCTGTAAATGTAATGGAGAACAGTTTCAAGGTATTGTACAGATGGTGTGCTATCTTAGACAGATGTGTAAAATGTATAGCACAATAGGTTTTTGGGGAAATTTAATGGTAATTACATTGACTTAAGTCAGGAGAGGAGAACCTCTTCTCAGCCCAAGGGCTGAATTAAATTTTGGAGATGCTCTAGGCACCATGCTCTTTTGGTGATAAGAAAGTAGAGGCAAAGGCATAAATGCTGAACACCATCATATTCTAGCTTAAAACTTTTACTGCCAGTAATTAAACCTTAGGCAGAGTATTTCAACCTTTAGAATGGAAGGAAACTGCTCAAAAACAGTTAGCAATTGGAGTGAAATAGATTGACCAGCAAAAGGAATGTGTCCATTAGGAGAACCCTGGAAGGCCTGATTGGGGGCTGGAAGTAAATTGTTGCATTCAATACTGGGAGAAAGTATATTTGTTTATAGATAAAATGATATTCTGGACAATTGCACTAAATCTCTAGTATAATAATTGACAATTCACTAAGGGTGCAATCCTATGGCCTTCCCGCAGTGTCCAGAGGGTCCATGGGATTTTTCAGACTCCCAGTTAAGAGGTCCTTGAATATTGAGCTGGTGCTGCAAATGAAGAATTCACATTTAACAACAAGTCAAGCTGGAAACCTTGCGGGCACTGTTTGTTATGTGTGAACTCAGCATCAATGGTGAAGCATGACATGTTTAATTTCCATGAAGCTACCTGGAGGAACAATGTTGTAATGTTTCTGTACCTCCTCATGGCTTGTCCTTATGTTTGGAGTTACAATGCTTCCACGTGGTTTCTACTTTTCTTCCATTGTGTTTGGTGGCAAGAGCAGCTACAACTGCAGCAGATGCACCAGCATCCATTTTTCACTGTCCTTTTCCACATCGCATCTGTTGAGGCAGCTGCAACCACTCTCTGATTGGCTGCTTCACACTCTCTGTCTTCCCTGCCAACACACTCATTTCCAATGCCCAACCATGGCAACAGGATTTCACTGGCAGCGGAGCATTGAGCTACAACGTCTTCAGCAGCAGTGACTGCAGACACAGCCATGCTTTGGCATGGCTGCCTGGTTGCTGCCTTGTGCTGGAGTGGTGCTTTGAAGTGGCACCGTGTTTGTGCCACTGCAGGAGCCAGTGGTCTCCTCATGCAGAGGCTGCCCTGCACAGGAAGAGCACACAGGCAGCACATCGGACTTTGCTAACAGGGTGAGGATCCAAAGGAGTCTGTGTCTCCTGCCCTCTGCCCCACTCGCATCTTGTGCTTAGGATGTACCACAAGCCCTTCTGTTTCTCCCACATTCACAGCTTTGGGACTAAAGTTTCCTGACAGCCTGACAGGAAGCTTTCCCAGACAAATGCCCAGCCAGGCATTCTAATGGAAGTCTGCCCAGCAAGAAGCACTGTCTCCATCTGTGGCATGGGTACCTGCACTGAAACCTCTGTGCACCTCACTGCAGGGGCAGCCTCTGGCAGCACATATAAGTCTTGCTCATAAGGAGGAGCATGGACACATGTACAGGGAACAGGGATAGAGGTGCGTATATGGGTCTGTGTGCTTATTCACTTGCATGGTGTGTGGCAGGAATGGGAAGCGCTCTTGCAGTGCTACTCTACAGCAACAACACTACTCTAATGATTAGGCAATCACTTTACTGAGCAGGGAAAAAATCCACGAGCAGCCTGCTAAGGCCATGACCAAGGGAGTACGTGGGCCAGTGAGGGAGAAACAGACAAGGTAGGCAGGAGTTGTACATTCTAGGAGTGATTTCCATCTGCACAGGCTGATGGGGTATGTGCCACCTTTTGGAGAAAGATGGCAAAACATGCAAACCATGCGTAATAGAAAATAAAAAACTGTGAACCTAGGGCACAAGTTGAAATACCATGCTCCAAGGAACCACGTGGCATTGCTTAGCATTAAGTGTGAACATGGCCAATGACTTTTACTAATGAGCATTTGCTTATTTTGGAGCAGTATTCAGTCATATCACCCAGCCTTTGCTGATTCCATTTATTTTATGGCAGTGACCACTAATGAAGCAGGGTTTTTGTTTGCATAAATAACCCCAGAAGCTAGCAGAAAGGCTTGTTCCTGGATTGGAATGTGTCAGTGGTACTCCCTTCTCCAAGTTCCACTAGTCTGTCTGGTTCTATAAATTTTATCTTTTGACAGTGTGTTGGGCAAAGAATGGGGTTATGTCAACTAGTATTTTCTTTTGTTCAGGGTTATTTTAGAAGGGCAAAAACTGCATTGCATGAGCAGTTGATTCCATGAGTGCTCAGACACAATAGGATATTACCCAAAACTTTGAACAGAAAATGCATAAGAATGGAGTGGCTGAAATGTTGTATTTCTAAGTATTGCTTTGTTCATTATGTAGTAAATATTTAGATGAGTTTTGTCAGCTCCTTTCCTTACAATACATCACCCTTCTCCGATGTGACATCTGCCATATATTTTGGTCTAAAATTCCCATGACATGATTGTTGAGCATGCTATCTGGGAGCTGTAGTCCAAAACATCTGTAGGGTACCACGTGGAAAAAGCTGCAATAGGTATTTTATTACAATATTATAAAAACATTTTAAAAACCCCCTCAGTGGATTGTAGATAATGGACTTAATTCAAGCATCACATCAAACTGTGGTCAAGGAAGTCTAACCATTGTTAAGTGTGCTGTTGAAATTGAAAAACCATGGCTTGCATTTGGCCACTAAGTCAGTATCCAAAACCAAGCCTTTGGCATGTAGAAACTGTTGTTTGTGCCAAGTCTAGTTTGTATGATGCTTGAATTGCCAGGTCATAGTGATGCTGCTATGTAAATACTGGAATGATTATATGAAGTTGAGTGCTGAGATTATAGGAAATGAAATGGGCAAATCACTCTAAACTGTGGTTTGAGATCTGATCTCTGATTAGCACAAACCATTATGTGGTGCTGTTCCATTGAGCCATATTCTGGTGATCATACCTAAACAGGACTTCCATTATAAGGGAACTATTCCAAAACTACTGTCACACCCCTATCATCCTTACTTGTGAAAATGCTGAGTCACAGAAACCAGTAATCTTAATGAATGAAAAATGTACATACAGGAGAAGGTACACCAATGCATGTGATGTTGTGTTACATGGATTGTAGCAAGTGCCTTGGCAGCATTTCTGAATAAACACTATCTCAGATCAGGCAATTAAATGCCATAATTGAGTTATAACTTTCATAAACTTTTAGTATGTGTCCTATTTATGCTCTTTGTAATTTCTAATTTGTGATCTTCAGGTTTTTAATTCTGGAATTGAACTCCCAAGCTCCCAAGAAATAAAACTTCTTGGGAAGTTTTATTTCTTGGGAACTTGTAGTGGCCATTAAACAATCAAAGCTTGCTGACAAAGTTGGAAATCACCCTTTTGTTTTGTTCAGAAATTATCAAATATGAAAAAATGAATCAATCCTTGAAAAAGATTGATATGTTTATGAAGAGTTGTTCCTGATTCTTCTGTAAGTGATAATAAAATGCCTTTTAAAGTATGTCTTTATCTTGAATAGTTTTGACTTAACTGTAGTGAACATAAAAGGAACCTATTCCTCTGTTTCAGAATACTTGTTCACCAGAGGCTCTTATTGCTGCTTTTTGACAGGCATTCATAGAAACAATGTTTGCAAGCAAAGCCCCAGTAGATGAAGCATTTCTCTATGCCAAGGTATGTGTTTTGCTGAGTCATGGAGAATCATTATAGTTCCCCATTCAGTTGTTTTCTGCATTGAATTATTGGGGTTCTTCCAAACAGGGGATTTCTAGCTCTACTAGTGAGAAGGTATTGTGCAGCTATTTCTTCTTTTATCTCTTAGCAGATTGTCTATGATAAGAATAAAGCTAGAATAAGCAGTGGGAAAATCACAGAAGACTTACCGTTTGAAGAAAATATCTGGTGCCCCGTAACATACCATAAATAAGGCAGGGCAATGACATCTTAAAAACTTCATTTAGTAGCATCATTAAGTTTTGGTTCCATGCACAGCTACCTGCAAGCATGTCCCAGTGAAACTAATAGGATTTGCCTCTGCATAGTCATTGATAAGACAGCATTTATTAGCTTTTCATCTGAACAAATAATGGGAGGTTAATCAAACATGCTAGAGCTAATTATGTCATCTTATATCTACTTACAGCAAGCTGTTAGGCATGTTAGGATGAGACTGGTGAAAGGCCTCCTATCGCTGACAAGGATTTGAACTGTTTCTCCAATACTGTATCTGCAACATTAGATTGCTTTGCTCTTCTGGACACAGGCAGAAAAGGACTTGCTTAGAAATTTTGAATTTGAGCCAGAAGTAACAGATTCCCTTATTTCTGACTTGATCATTTCAGTTTGAATTTGAATGCCGAGCTCGTGGTGCTGACATTTTGGCTTATCCCCCAGTAGTTGCAGGTGGCAACAGATCCAACACCTTGCATTATGTGAAAAATAACCAGCTTATCAAGGTAATCACATGGATGTTGACCTTTTTTACTGAAACACACTGATACATCATTTCTATGAAGCCATACAAAACTAATTTGAAAAGCTTTATTCCAAACAGTATGTGCTGCTTTTGACAACCTGCATAGCTCTGACATCTGTTTTTTGAGTGGGTATCCATTCCATTTTTAGCATAGTTAAGGGGACATGAAACAGATCTGTGGTCCATAGTGTGCCTTGACAATGAGTAAGCTGTTGTGTGGCTTTGCAGTGCTCTGTGCTTGTTAGGCATGCATAGATTGCTTGATTATCCAAAGTGGGGAACCACTTTTATCTTGGTCATTGTTCCTTTTACAAAAATCATGTGATATTTCATTCCAAACCTGCTATTTATTTGCAAACCTTCATATTAAGATCTTCTGTCTGATGCCAGAAGTCCTTCAAAGGTTATTTATTTATTTAAAACTTTTATATGCTGTTACCACATGCCTTGGCATCTCAGGATGGCTCACAAAGTGTGTGCACGCACATAAACGTGCAGTTCTAAAAAGCACAGTTTGTTCATAGAAAAAAATCCAAATGCTTTTATTAGGATCAACCAAAGTTTATTAAAACATGCAAGCTTCTGAGTTTTCCAAAACCTTTCAGGTAGAGTGGTACAAAAAACATAGGTTGGGGGAACAAACAGAGAAGTTCAAAGATTTAGCCAGATGCAATGGCAACAAGGCTTACAATTTAGATGGACCCAATCTCCGAGCAGAAATTACAGACTGAATGCAGTAAGGCATTGCAAGTATCAGTTTACACTGATCCATGCATTTTGGGAGTGAGAAGTAGCAATGGTCAATCTCCATTTCTGAAATATCTAGCTATAACTCTGAAGTGCCTTTTGCTTTGAGCATAATACACAGGCTCCTGAGCTGGCACAGGTCCGAAGTGCAGAGAAACATGTTATTACAACAGGCAGAGAGTAATTTTAAGTGCTGCGTGAAATTTAAAAAAAAAAAAAACAAAATTGTGAGTATTCTTTTCTCCCCCCCACCCAACTTCCCACCCCATTTTGTGGAATTTCAGTTGGTTCTAATATACAAATTTTTATACTATGAATTTCTGTTCATAGTGTTAGCATACGTATGTATACACCTTAATGTGTGTACTCCAAAAACATGGAAATATTAAGATTATTAGTGGAGGCTTGTGGTGTGCACATGGTGGGCTGCATGCTAAACTTAGACAAAGTGGGAAAATTAACTTAACTCTAACAAAAAGCATCACTCTTAAGGTTAGGATAAGGCTATCAGTGGTTGGTACTCCTGATGTCTGTATGCTTTGTGTCCTACTTGTGGGTTTTTCATAGGCAAGTGGTTGGCCACTGTGAAGAGAATGCTGGCTGTGATGTGTCCTTGGTCTGATCCATCATGGCTCTTCTTATGTTCTTAATATACATTTTAACATTATCATAAATATTTTTAGGAGAAAAGATTTGTTTGTATAATACCCTTGGACCTGCAGCGAAGTCTCTTATAGTACCTAATAGCATCAATAAAAAAGGAAAGTTAGAAAAGAGGGATTATAGTTCATGCTGGGGTAATGACAGGATAGACTTCAAGCCTACACACAACAGGAGTTCCAGTTGCAGAAGTGTAGCCACTTGAGACCCAGAACAAAAAGATTTAGAGTGACATCAGGAAAGAGAGAGGGGAGGTTATATTAAACTATTTCAGAGAAGGGAGAAAACCCAGGGCTTAATTTCCTAAAAGTTTACAAGGCTAGGTGGAAGACTGACCTCCTTAGGCTGGTTGAGAATCAGCATTAGAGTAATTGAAGGACAAATCCAAAGGCAGATCAAGAAACAGGCAAAGATCAAAGGCAAAGTTTTAGTAGGAAAATAGAAGGGTATCTTAGAAGAGAGGTCTAAGGTATATTCAAGATCAAAACAGGAGGGAACAGTCAAACAGAAATGTAGTCACAAAAACAGTCAGCAGGAATATAGAAGTCACTAACAAGGAGGTCCAGTCACAAAGCAAGGTCAAGGCACTGGGAGCTGAGGAGAGGTGTTAGTTCCAAACTGAGAGCTGATGCAGGCAGAGTTCCAGAGCCCTACCCAGGGTGCAGCTGAAGTTTATCACAGGTTTATGTAAAAAACACTTTATCAGGTGACCAGTGGAAGTTCCTCTTAGGTTTGTGTGAAAAAGTCCTCATCAGGAGTTCCATATGCATGAGATGTCCAGTTGCTCTGCTCCTTGTGCTGTTCACTTCACCTTTATGTGGCAGCCTGGTGCCAGCAGATTCGAGGGCTAGGTGGATGCTAGGCTTCCACAGATTCTGTGTGGGATGTATGGCCCTCACTGATCTTTCTTAGGGTTTATTTCATGTCACTTAGTACTGGAGGAACTGAGGTAGTTTCCCTAGAGTTGCTAAGGGTGCCAGCATCAGGATGATTGACTCTGCAGACTCAAAATCATCATCCTGGCCTAAGTTAGGGATGACAAGTTCTTGCTTAAAACCCTACAAAGTCTCAGCAAAATGTCTTTAGCTGTTACCTTAGCCACAGGAAGAAGGAATCACTGAATTTAAAGCCAATAATCCTGAACTATCCTGCTGTCCACAATTGTGAAGCACAATTGTGTATGCAGTGTGAAAGTTCCACAAGTATCTCAGGGAGGTGGCCAAGAGCCAGGTATGGCAGTACCAGTGAAATGGATGTTTCCTAAATGCACCAAATGGGTGCAAGTATGAACAAAGGACACAATAGAGTTGATGACTTTTGGTGTGCTCCAGTTAGGTTAAACAAAAGTTTCAATAGATTGGCTCAGAAGAATGAAGATTGCTTTGGGATGTTGCTGTCTATGTGACTAAATTTTGGCAGGCTAGTTCAGTATTACAAAGCCTTGTTTTCAGTGGCTAATCAAAACAAAAGGTGGGTAGGTTGCAGGTGCTTTAACCTGGATGAACTCTAACAATTGCTTACTGCCTATCTGGAGGTCCAGAAACTTCAAGGTTGCGCCATATTTCCTGTCCCATTTTTAGTTTGGCCAGTTACCTCCTGGATAGCATAATTAGGGTGGCCTTCTATAACTCAGGAAGGTATTTGCATTTACCTGGAGTTGCTGTTGTTTTCCTATCAGCATTTAGCAGCCTTCTCCAACATGGTGACCTACTGACGTTTTGAACTTCCATCAGATTCAGCCAGTATGGGTGATGTCGGGAATGCTGGAAATTGTAGTCTCTGAAATCTGGAGGATACTAGGCTGGGAAGCCTGAAATAATACACAAGGGTCATGAACTTTGAATACATCAGACACTAGTAAACTGCACATTACTATATTTATTTATTTTTATTATTTATTATTTATTAAAACATTTTTATGCCGCCCCATTCGCCGAAGCCTCGGGGCGGCTCACATCAATAAATTAAAATAATTATAATATAAATTAAAATATAAATATAAAATTAAAATACAACAGTACAGTATAAAATAAGCCGCCCTGGCCAGATAAAACCAATAATGTTAACAGTTAAAATGCCGCTTGAATAAAAAGGTCTTCGCCTGGCGCCAAAAAACAAATAACGTCGGTGCCAGGCGGACCTCTCTGGGGAGCGCGTTCCATAACTTAGGCGCCACCGCGGAGAAAGCCCTCCTCCGAGTACCCACCCTCCTAATTTCTTTCATGGAGGGTTCCCGGAGAAGGGCCTCCCCCGCCGATCTCAAGGGGCGGCTGGGCATATATGGATGCAAGCGCTCCTTCAGGTAACCTATAGGAGATTTTCATTCCTGCATGTCTCTATACTTTGTTACACAGTCTTCCATAACTAAAGGATAATTAATCCAAGGTACTAGGGTAATGGTGGCGAACCCATGGCATGCGTGATGCAGTGGGCACGCAGAACCCTCTCTGTCTGCATGCAAGCCAAGTCACCCCAGCATCGCCCCAGCAGCCAAGCATTGGATAACAGTGCACATAGGGGCCATGCGCATGCTCGGAAAGGAGTAGCAGCGCTAGGCAATGATGTCACGAGCCACAACTCATTAGCCATGACTCATCTGAGCTTTCACATGGCCGGTCAGTGTGCTGCCAAGGATATGCCAATACTGGCTGTGAGTTTTAATACATTTGTTTTTAGTAACGCATGATTTTAGCTTTGCGTTTTCTTATGAAAAAATGAAATTTACTATCTAAGATTTAGCAGAGATGTTCTAATCAAGAGACTGAGATTCTTTTAATGTTGTGTTGTCCCCTTGGCATATTTGAATCTGGAGCATCATATTTAGTGGTTTTTTATAAATTAAAACCTCAGTATTCAGGTTTTATTGTAGTGTTGGCACTTTGCGATAAATAAGTGGGTTTGGGTTGCAGTTTGGGCACTAGGTCTCTAAAAGGTTCACCATCACTGTACTAGGGTGATGCTAAAAAAATATGAGGATAAAAGGCCTAATGATTGAGCTTCTTAGTAACGGTCTTCAGTCAGTATAAGAAGTTTACAATGTTTCCAAATTTTATAGAATTCATGAACAGATAAAAGAGCACCCTTGGCTGTAAAAAGAACAAAGCTGGTATTTATGGTAAATACAGTAATCACTTCAGCAGGGTTGTGATTTAAGCACAAACCATTTTTCATCTCAGCTATCTAATTGATTTGCTAGTAGTGGATAATTGGATGATGGATCACTGTAGCAAGCTGTAATTCGTATAAACAACTTGACTCTTTCATATAATTGTGAAGTGGCTACTTGTCTAATCTCCTTATGTTAAAAATGTAAGTGTTGTATTGGATCCGACCAAGGTCCATCTAGTACAACATTCTACTCACACAGTGGCCACCAATCTGTGGACAGGAAACATTCAAGCAGGACCTGAGTCCTCAACAACTGGTGTGCACAAGCATACTGTCTGAATCTGGTAGTAACAGGCAGCAGGACTGGTAGCGAATGATACCTTATGCTCCATAAATCTGTCCAGTAACTTAAAATTAGTAGCCCTTACTAACTTGACCCAAATCTCCCATTAGTTAGTTTCATGGGATGATTATGGATTCTAGTATCATATGAGAGGGAGAATGACCTTTTAGTATGACTCCCAATCTCAATGGCAGTAGAAGGATTGTCATCCAGAGATTAGGATGCCTTTGTTAGGTCTCCAAAGGACTTGTCCACCAGAGGTGTCTCTGCCTCTCTGTTTCTCCAGGTCAGCAACCTTAGTTTCAAGGGAATGAATTTGTTTTCTAAGAGCCAGGAGGAAATTCCACATACCCATACCTTTTATCTAGCTGACGGATAGTCATACAGTTGGCAGCACATTGGATAGCACTTTTACACCTGCTGGCTTTCTTCCTTCATAACTATGGTTTACTTTTACTTGAGTTTCTTTACCTGGAAAGCTTATTTACTTTCCAGGTAAAAGATAGGGGATTACTTTTTTTTAGTTACATATTTATTGTTTTTTACTAGAATAAGGCAGGAAGAATAGATTGGCTAATGCCATAGGTGCTTAATTCACCTATGTGCTGAAATTTTATCACTGGTCCTCAGTTGCAATGTCACTGGGACGCCTGCTTGCAGAGCTGGGCATCCTTGCAAGCCTGCCTCCTTGCATAGCTCTAGCTTGCTTGTCCCAATTGCTGCTGCAGCCAGTCAAATTAGAAGTTCTCATTTAACAAGCAAGGGAGACTGTTATTCAACTATTGGTCTGCACTAGCATCCAGTGAGTGCAGACTTAGGTCAGCTGAGCCCAATGAGAGTGGAGACTTTTGCATCATCATCATCATCATCATCCAGGGCAGGGGACAAATGGTCAATAGATTGATGGAGGGGTCAGAAGATAACAGACAGCTGGAGCTATCAGGAAACATAGAAATAGAAAGAATATAATAACTAGGTGATTGAGGAAGGGATGTGGTTTGTCTGGAACAGTCCTTTGCAGTGCAAAAATCTTGCCTAAACCTGCACCAGCATAAATTGGACTGATTAAAAGTTACCATGTATTTTGCTTGGGCTTATTAAATTGCTGTGACATACATTAGAGTGGGAGATAAGGTTGGCAGGAAAGGGCATGACTACAGTTTCAAAGTCCCTGGGCTGCTGCCAAATAAAGAAGCATAAGTAGCTTATCTCACTTTCTAAACAGATGTTTAAAGTTGTATTATTTTTTTAAAGTTCTGTTTTCTATTTCTAGTTGAATGATATCCTGGAATGCTAAAGAATTGTTTTTTCTTGTGTCCTAGGATGGAGAAATGGTTTTATTGGATGGGGGATGTGAATCCTCCTGTTATGTAAGCGATATCACCCGCACCTGGCCCATCAATGGCAGGTAGATTCTGCTCACAGAAGGGGAAATAGGCTGTTTTTAAGTGCTTGTGAGAACTGTAGCTCACAAGCTTTTAAACATTCTCGTGGTTATCTCTGGGGGTAGAATCCAGATATAATTTTCATCTTACTTGCTTTCTTGTTTTTTCCCAGAGTGGCTGCCTTCCCACTGTCTCACAATATATTGTGAGCCACGCAGAGAGCCTTGTGGCTAAGAGTATGGCATATAACTCATATAAATTTTAAAAATTCACTGTGTTCTTCTTCCCTGCTTAACTTTGTGGCCTTTTGCTTTTATAGAAAGATTACTGTGTTTCACATATTCTAGTGTGAAAATGTGTTGTAGTGATGGCTAAGTGTTGTAGTGATGCAGAAACACTATGCAGATAATATTGCATAGTACTATTCAACATCAGCACGTAGATAGGGAAAACATATCTTGAATTTCACATTCATGTCAAAAACTTGAAAAGCTAGACTTTCTGAAGAAGTGATCCAAGTCCTGTTTTCTCTTTAAAGTGTTGATTTTCAGTGTGTGGGGAGGATTTGACATAGAGGAATATTCAGAATATGCAGTCTTCTCCCTGTATTATGCAGTGGAACAATCCTAGGAAGGCAATGCCACATAATTATTTTGAAAATGTGGTGTGGCCCTTAATTGGTAGTTGTCCTTCCTGTTTAAATCCCACCAGAGGTGTTATACTTTTGCCGCTCTTTCTTAGGTTCACCAGTCCCCAAGCAGAGCTGTACCAGGCTGTACTGGAAGTACAGAAGTCCTGCTTGAAGCTCTGTTCTCCAGGTGTGAGCCTAGACAACATCTACAGTCTCATGCTGAACCTCATTGGACAGAAGCTGAAAGATTTGGGGATCCTCCAGAAAAACATCACTGAGAACCATCTTTTCAAGGTACATAGATTTCTTATATCACTCTCTCTTTGGTCTGCTCCAAAGGGTGAACTGGCACTTCAGATGGGGCCACTGAAGTTTGAATTGCCAGCTTCTTCCCATATGGCTGTCAATCAGCTTTCTTGTATTGTTGCAGGTCTAAGTGGGATGTGTCCTGTAAAAACAAGCCCTGGCAGCACTGCCTTTTTCATCCAGCAGATGGCAGAACATTCAGATTGCTCAAGGCATGCAATTGTTTAACTCTTTGACAAGTGTCAGGAGAAGAGATGAGACCATACTAATTTGTCACTGAGATCAACAGACGGAGCTGCTAGACTGAGGGAGGAAAGTGCCTCATTTTGAAATGGAGGTCAAAGTTATGGGAGACATTTTATCCTCATCAAAAGTGGCAAACTAGCTATTCTGGAAGTGTCTGTTAATGAATCACTTTGATTATGTTTAGCTGAGTAATGCAACTTGCAGTAGGTGTGTTTTCCTTGCTTTGTTCTCTGATGGACAGATAAAAGTACAAATAGTATTTCAGCAGAGTGTACATTTAATCACCTCTCCTTGGAACGTTTAGAGTGATCAGACATGCACGGTAAAAACAGCCATATTTCAGAAGTAAATTTAAATTCCTTTTTCAAAGCATAGGAAAAGTGCAAATAATAAAGAGATCTTGATATGTGTCTTTACCAAAATATATCCTCTCAATGAATACATAGGAGGGGGCTTTAACTCAGTTACAGAGCACATGTTTTGTATCATCATTATTATTGCTATGCATATAGACCCTGTCTTTCTTACTCTTGTAAGGAACCTGAAGTATGCCTACAAGGTTTTCCTCCTCTCCATTTTATGCTCACAACAACAGCCCTGTGAGGTAGATTAGGTTGAGAGTCAGTGACTAGCCCAATGTCACCTTAGAGAACTTCATGGCCTAGTAAGGACTAGAATCCGGATTTCTGAGTCCCCAGACCAATACAGTAATCACTGTGCCACACTGACTCTTTGCATGTCAGATAGCGCCAGATTTTCTGCCCTTAAGATTTCCAGATAGGGCTAAGAAAGACCTTTGTCTGGAATGCCACGCAATATAAGCAATAGCAAACTAGATGAAACAACACTGTAATTCGGGCTAAGGCAGCATCTATTGTTATGTTAATAGAGATGATGCATCAAAATCTATTTTAGGTGGCAAAGGCAGAAAAGGGTTATCTTTTATGGTAAGTAAGGCATAAAGGTATGATGTCCAGCCAGGGTACTACTGTAATTTAATGTGTCTAATAGGACCTTGGTGTGGGCAATATGTAGTGAGCCTAGCATGAGGAGTGACATTGCCATAATAATACTATAACACAGTGGTAACTGTGTGTCTTTGTATGCACATACTACTGTGAGTGAAGATTGTGAAAGCAAGACAGTATATGGTGGGTCAAAGACATGTGAGACTCTAGAATATGATTCCATATATGGCTTCCCAACCCTTTATACCAGTGGGGACTGGCTGAAGATTGTTGGAAGTTGTAAAACTGCTTTCTATCCAAACATGCATAGGATTGTGTCTTAAATCAGGGTACAATTCTTTTCTAGATTTATCCAGAATAACTACAACCCCCGATTCTATAGTCAGTCACTAATATGGGTCAGGCACCTCACCATCTACATGCTGCATGCTCTGAAAGAATTAAAATAATCCAGCATATTGACCTGTCTCATGAGCTGTAGAGACAGAGCTTATGCCATGCTACCTCTTAAATGAAGGAATGTGTGGAATCTAGCCCACCACAGCCTGGAATAGCCTAAAGAAGGAAAATGACAGTTAAAAGAAGTCACAGCCATGATTAGAGATTTCCCTCAATGCTCACCCAGTTTCAGGGGTAGGAAGGGAGCAGTGGGGAAGTATTAGATACAGTCCATAGCTACTGTGTCGTATGCTGTTGCCCTTCCTTGAGACACTGTAGAAATTGGGGGAAGAAGCTTTTTAGAGGGATTTGTGTACTGAAGAGGGGCATGTGCTTGTATAATTCCTCCTCCACCCCTCTTCTGGGAAAAATGAGTCCATGGAGTGACTTCTGCTCTTTCCTATTCCCCTACTACTGCCTGCATTGAATAGTGGAGGAAGGTGGTAAGCTTGGTATCACCCAGTTTGCTGTTAAGAGGGTGTCACAGGCTGAACTGCCACAGTGAATCAGATAAGTGATCCTCCAGCACAGAACACATGGCTGCCAGCAATGACCAGGACGATGTTTCAGGGTGGTCACAACCACAGGAAGCATGAAACTACTGAGGCACGAAACAGCATCTCAAAATGAATGCACCACATTTGGTTCTCACAGCCAGTCCCTACTACACTTCAAGCACTGATCTAGTTTGTTTAAAGGCCATTGAGCTACTTGCCATCACAGCAACAGTAAATTGTAAATTGTAATGGTTGATTATGTGTTGTAGAAGAGGTGCTTCCTTTTTATCTTAAACTAGCTGTCTAAGGATTTTGAGGCAGGACTTCAAACATTTTTGCATTCTGAGTAGGTTCAGATGCAATAAGGCAAATGAGAATTCCCTACCTTTTTTCTTTGCATTCTGTCTCCTAAGTTCTTGCCCTCCTTCCTTCAGAATATAAAAATGAGCAGTAACAGTTGCTCACCTAACTAGAAAACATAGAGATTGAAAGGAGACTCATCATATTTCTGAGGATGCTAGGAACAAGGAACAATGAGTGGAGATGGGTGGAGCCAGGGGTCAGTCTAGAATCTAGACTCTAGATGGCCCGGGAGACCCTTTCTGACTCACTCTGTTTCTATGTCTACAAACCTATTGTAGTTATATATAAGCAAGAAAACACTTGTGTATTTAAGTTTCAATGTACGTTTTCTTTATCAGACGCTATGCTGAAAAAGTTTATCTACCTTGCATCCCTCCACATTTTGTTTGCTTTAGGAGCATGTTTATTGCTTTCTAGGCTGTTCAGAAATACTGCCCACATCACATAGGACATTATCTTGGAATGGATGTTCATGATACACCTGATATATCCCGATCAATCCCTCTCCAGTCAGGCATGGTGATCACCATTGAGCCAGGTAAACAACACATTAACAGTATGAGAATGAAGAGGGAGAGAGTGTGTCTATCTGTACATGTATTTGGATATGGGTGTGTGTGTGTACACAAATACACTGACAAAAACGCACACATGTGTGTCATGTGTTCATAGAATTGCTATGTAGTTGCTATACATGGTATTTTCCTAAGTTACTGTCTTGCATTTTTATATTTTTCAAATTTGTTCCTAGCTTTTAACCTATTGTGAAGAGCTAGAAAACATGTAATCCAAGGATGGTCAGCCCACCATGTGTCCCACTTAGTTTCAGAGCTAAGTTTGCCTTTTTAGACTGTTGTCATTGGTTTGCTCTAGAAACAAGCAGAACGTTGCTGATTTTGTTTTTGCTGATGCTAAAAATTCAGCATGCAGTGCTTGAGTGTGGCCCCCAGAAGGGTTGACATTGGCTCACAAAGCTCTGAAGTTGTCCACCAGATAAAGGCAACATCTAGTAAAACCTTTTGGCAGTAGCATAAGGCTCTAAAGGCAGGGGTCCCATAATACTATGCAGAACACTGTGTGCATTTTCAAAAAACCCGGAGCTCTTAACATATATTATTGCTGTAATAGTTAAAATAACACTGTAAGGTAGTCCTGGTTAGTTCATTAAAATCTCCTAAGGAAGGACATTTCTCAATTTTATTCTCTAGTTAGACTGACCATGATTCAATCACTTAACCAACTTTTCTTTTATAACAAGTAAATTGGTAATACACTTAATGAGATTCCCTTCCCTTCCCCACAGAAAGAAAGCCTTTTCATTGCTGGGGTTCTGCATCATGGCTATGTATTCAGGTTCATTGTATTCAACTAATTCATGTTTGCCTCTTAACAATGCATCATCTGAAAAGAAGCCATTTAGTATGGTAGTGCCCATCAGTTTCCAGAGTAGATATGGGTAACTTGCCTTGATCTTTTAACCCTTCCTTTATAAGGACAAGGAGAGGTTTGCAGCTGCCATTTTTATTCAGGCTTGCAACACTGCAACACCTTGTTGGTTTCTGCTAAAAAGAACCAAGGTGTCATAATCCTAGATCAAGATCCACAGCCAACACCCCAGTGCTGTGAGGGTGAGTGAGCAGTGACTGATCTCTCCTTGGTCAGAGTGTGGGTTAAGGAAAGGACTCACAGGAGTTTAAGCCTATCACTGTTTTGGGAACAAGTAGCCACTATAACTTGCCTGTGGAAGCCTTGTTTCTGTGTGATTCTTTATAAAGAGGCAAATGTATGAATCAGAACTAAGGGCTGGGAAATTCTTCCTACAGCATCTGTTTTTCTGTGATTGAAATATGTTGCACATATGTTTCAGTGCATGTGGTATGTAATTGAACTCGCTTTTCCTCCTGCCATTTTTGGTCATTTGGAAATTATCGACATATCCTTTCTTAATTTTCATTACTCGTGCCAGTGGGAAGATTGTTGAACAGCAGGACAGATGATAAACCAAGAGAATCTGTATGCTGCCCCAAATACTATCCTTCAGATTCACACACTCAAAACTGGAAAACTCCCTTAGATTCGAGCAGGCTCTTAGTGCTTTAAACAACTCTATTTGTTGAATGTTCTTTTTACTCATCTATTGTTGCATTTGCAACTTGATTTTAACTATATTATAATATATGTGCTTAATATAATTTATTATTGTTTTATCAAGGTTTGTTACAAATTACTTGAGTGCCATTTTTGAAAGAAAGTTGGGGTACAAATCAAATAAATCTTGAACATGTCTTTATAAATCATGTTGTGATATACTACAGATTTGCTGCATAATTTGCAATGTAGGCTTATTAATTTTTGGTTGTCATCTTTACTTCCAGGCATCTACATCCCTGAGGATGATGTAAATGCCCCTGAAAGATTCCGTGGCATAGGTATACGCATAGAAGATGATGTTGTTGTGACAGAGGACACACCATTAATCCTGTCTGCAGACTGCCCCAAGGAGATCTATGATATTGAGCAGGTCTGTGGCTGCAGCCTTTGACTGCTCTTCACAGCCTTTCATACCTTAGTCATGTGCAGATCAAGAAACATGCTCTTTCAGACAAAGGCCACTCCTTTATAGTATCTAACAGATTTATATGATTGCTATTGTGGGTAAAACTACTTTTGGGAAAAACATTACCAGCAAGGAATTGTGTGTAAATATTTTAGACAGCAAGAATATGGTATTTAAACAGGAAAAATGTACTTAGTAATTTGACAAGTATTCTAAGTTGATGCTAATGCTCAAGAATCTATACGCTACTATTTAGACTTTTTTGCCCTTGTGTATATACTGAAATTGTATTGTTATTTAAAATGTGTTTTCAAGTATAAACCAGTTGTTAATTTGGTTCTTGGACTGCGGGCTAGGGCAGGCCTGGACAAAAGGGCTTTAACTTTAAAAATTTATTGATGTCAGTGAATATGTAGTATGTCAATGAAAGCAAATAACAGACTCGTTCTGTGCATAATAAGGCATGCTATAAGAGCCCACTGATCACAGTTGATTTAAAACAAACTTAAGTCCATATAGAATTGAACATCTAGATTTGTCAGTAATAAACAAAAAGCAGTTTTAAGTTGGTCTGTTTTCAGGATGCTTGCCACTGGATTTGGGTTGGGGTTTTTTGTTTGCTTGTTTTTTGTTTTATTCAGCCTTCCAGCATTTCCTTGATTCTTTGAAGAGGGTTTGGCATAAACAATGACATTTTAGGGCAGCCTTTTCCTATTCGTTAGATACTAAAGAACAAATATTTGCACCTTGCATTGAGTGACTGGGATCCTAATTTTCATTCTGTAAACAGCTTAATTCAAAGATAGCTTTCTGGCCACCCACTTCCCTTGCATCCCCTGTGTTTGCTGAAAACCTTACTCTGAACATTCTGAAAGCCTTGAGAATGATACAAGTATGGATTGAATTCACACAGTATAACACCCTATTGTGGGTAACAAGCTAAGGTGGGTTGCCATTTCATGCAGACCTGGACTTTGGGGCAGTGAGCCACCCCAACAATCCATGGCTTGTTCTGAGGGATGCAGGACACAGGATAGGCTTTTGTGCTGTCCATACCTGGCGGATGGATCCTATCATGGGTCCAGGGAAGTGACAAGTGAGCCACTCAGCTGCAACCCCCAGCACTTTGCTGAACTTGCCTGTTCCCCTACCAGTGACAGTCATTCCATCAATGCCCAAGCAGCACTTTTACATGATCTTCACAAGTTAGTTCATACCACTTTGATTTTGAATGCTTTTGAGCCACCAGTACTGTTGTCTTTTTTTCTTTCAGCGCTTTTTTTGATGTCTCCCAGTGACAGCCTCTCCAAAGTAAACAAGTGGTATATTGGAACATCTGTCACTAGTTCACCCTTTCTTTAAAAAGTATGTCTCAGAAATGCACACAAATATTTTGTATCCTTTAAAAATTAATATATCAGGTCTGTCTTTCAGAAGTGTGCAAGTGCACACCCCTGACTAGCCAGCGTGTGAATTCTTGCATAGTCAATGTCCTAGTAACTATCAGTGTCCTAGTAACAGTGTCCTAGCTGTGCAGAAGGCAATATCCATGGACACTGACAAAGATAGGCTTCATATAGGTTAATCTGTTAGTTTGCTGCTTGCTAAGAGTGAGTGCCAAGCAGAGAACTTGTGCATCTCTGGAAGACTGACCAAAAAAATCCCTTTAATATGGCAAAAACATTTATACATATTTCTGGTTTCTATTTTTTTGAAGTGGTGAATTAGTGATACCACTGAAGTGTTCTGCATGAGCACTTTAGAAGGTTGTCACTAGGAGACATCATGAAAAGCCTCCAGAAGGAAAGAAGATGGAAAGGAGTAGTAGCAGCTACTGAAAAGGGGTGGCAATTGCAATGGAAAGAAAAGACAAGATGGGTTTTACCTACCAAGCTCCCTAAGATACTTCCACAAGAACTGAGGGGAAAAGAGAACTGAGCTCTTCATGGAACAATGTATGATGCACCAAACAGTCAACTAGACATGGTGTGGACCATCCCCATGAAGAGCTCACACATGCAAACTTGTCCTTTATGTGAATAAAAGAATAACGTGAACATCCAAGCCACTGAAAACTTTGTATAATAAATTGCCATTAAAAAAGGCCAAATTAAAAACAGAGACCAGACAAGAATCAACCCCACCATTTCTTAGAAGATTGAGGGGAAACATGATAGCACTCTATAAGTACTTGAAAGGCTGTCACAAAAAGTAAGGACAGTATCTCTTCTCAGTCATCCAGAATGCAGAACACAGAATAATGGGCTCAAGTTACAGAAGACAGATTCCAGCTGAACATTAGAAAAAAATTCCTGTTAGAGCGTTATGACAATGGAACCAGTTACCCAAGGGGATTCTGATCTCTCCCACACAAGAGGCATTGAGGATGCAACTGGACAGCCATCTGAAAGGGATGGTTTAACCTGGAGTCCTGCACTGAGCAGGGGATTGGACCCAGTGGCCCTCTGGTCTTTCAGTCTCTATTCAGTTATTGCTTTCCCTCCACCTTTGTTTGCAAAATGCACCAATTTATATAAGAATTAATCTCTCTGAACTGCTGCAGGACATCCGTGTTTTGTATTAGGTTTTTCTGATCTAATTACAGGCTGTGAACTGAGATGTTACCCTTACAGAAATGATTGTTTCAATTATCCAAAAGCATCCATGAAATGAGAAGTGTCTAGCTTTCTACCAGTAGCTCCACTGAAGGTAACCATTCCTGTAAATATTTCCAGTTTCTGATGAGTCTGTACAGATATCTATCATAACAACACTGATTAGATTGTTACACTCTTGTAAAAAGAAAGACCTTATGACTAAGCAGTATAATTTTGAGCTTCTCCTCTGTGAGGATACAGCACAGATGCATCCAAGGGTAATCCCTTCAAGTTTTATGGTATAAAAAATAAAATAAACTTCTAAAAAATAAGTGATTGCCGGCATCACTAATTTGAACATTCAAGATGCAGCAACTAGGCACCAGAGTTTATTATGACATGCAAACCCAGGTGGAATCGCTTGCTACCGTGTTGCACCAACATGCTCACATTTATTATTATTCTTTAGTAACATGTGGCAGGGACAGAGGGGAAAAGGAGAGTATTCTGACAAGTAATTCTGCTGTTAGTATGCAAAAGAAATTGTGATTAGTTTGCTTGTCTGCATCTCCTTTTGGTTTGTGCCAATTGGAGGTGTGTGTCCATTGAACATCTGCATTTTGGGAAAAATTATAGCTTGGTTGAAGGAGATTTAATAATTTCTGTTGGGGAGAGATATCTGAGGACTAAATTTTCTCTCTTTTATTTTGAAAAAGCAATATATTATCATCTCTTTTCTCTTTCTAATCAGCTATCAATTGAGCAAGGCATCTCTTTTGTAAAAATAGAAGAGAAACTGATAATACACACTTTCTCCCAGCCAGTCTGTGACAATTGGTTCTCTGACTACTGAATAATCCTTTTTATTTCCCTGTATTTCCCTGCATTTGTTAAGCCAAAACCACCTTCAAAAATTGGATACCATCATCCAATGTACATCTGATGGTCTATATTTGTAAATACTGAAAAAAAATCATACTCCACTTTGATAGTAGCTTTAGTCACTGGAAGAAAAAGTTGACTCTTCCTTGCTGTAACAGGAATTGTTGACTCAAATCCCTGAGGACTTTTAGATTAAGGATCTAAAGAAGAAAGCCTGAACTTCCCTTCATACTGTAATATCTGCGTTCTTGACAGGCCACACAAGGCATTCACTGGTGATAGAATCCCTTTTAGCACAGGGAATCCTGATCCATACCACTAGCCCCTCTGTAACATCCCACGTTTCTAGTTGAGAAACTGGGAAAGAAAAGCCCTGTTTTGACACACTGTGAATTCTTTGTTGATGGTTCTTGTTATATTCTTCTTAATAGAACGCATATTGCAAGTTATACTGCCTCTTGCTTACATGAAGTGATAGTGATCATCAGCTCTCTTTGCTCAAAATATTTTAATAGTTTTATTGTGTTACACATCTTAATATACTATGCTTTTATATATTGTTTATTATTAGCCAGCTCAATTTTATCCTCAGGACTAGTGGTGGTGGCAGTTTACAAAGACTTGGTCAAGAGCCAATACTTACCTAATGGAAGTATTTCCAAGAAAGAGAAAGTGATCATGTGAGATGCCTGGATCATGTGAAATATCCAGTAGGAAGGCATCATGTGAGATGCCTTCCTATTGCATATTTTTAGTGCTAATATCTCTGCCTGTCACTTTCATTATTTTAATGTTCTGTATACACTCATTATTTTATACATCATATTTGTGAAATGTATACATCTTCCATGTGACAAATACTTTTGTCCTATTTCTTATTTAAATCCTAAAATTTACAAGCTGGCAATAAACAGACTGTAGTAATACATGCATGACTATATGTTCCTTCTGAAATGTGAAGTAGACATTACTAAGGCTTCTGGAAACCATTGTCAACCATTTATAAAGTCCTTGATATGCATTGAGACTTGGATGCATAGAGACTTGTCTGCAGCAATCTGTTACACAGGCAGTCCTATGCATATTTACTCAGAAATAAATCCCGCTGTGGGGCTTACTCCCAGGTAGGTATATGTAGGATTGCAGCCCAAAGTATGTATGGGGTATCTGGCCTTTTGCATCTCTTGCCCTATTCCTTGTCTTGTTTTTCTCCATTGCTCTCTTCACATTCTTGGAATGTTAGCTAATTTACTCCAGCAACACAGATATTTAGACAAGCTAGAAATTTGCACATACTCATCTGGAAAGGGGTTTTAGAGTGTTTTTGTCATTTGTTTAATCTCCATTTTACAAATCCCCAACTATTTTAGAGATTTATTTTTAATTATTTGCATCCCTTTTTTCAGGCCAGGGTCTCACAAGGCCACTGTTAAATGTCGAGATGTAGTAATACATAATTTACACCAATACCAGTGCATGTGTATCCTATGTATTTTTATTTCAGAGGTCCCATTCTGTTTAACAGGGCTTTCTTACAGGTATAGGATTGCATTCAAAACAGTGTATACATTTAAAAATCCAATAGGTGAAAAACAGCCACTTAAGAACAGATAAGCACAAGGCAAATTTAAAAGCAACAATAGGAAAGTTCATTAGTGCACCTTGAAATTCAAAATCAAAATCCTTAAGGGTTGCAGCAGCCTGTTAAAACAATTAAAAGCAATAGGTTCCTACAACTGAATGTAATCAAAGGAAATTGGACAAAGGATTACAAAATATTTGCAAAGCTTTTTAAAATTTCCATTTAAAAATACAGGTTGGACTGTATTTTAAATGTATTTGAAGCAGGTTTCCACAGAAATCTTCATAGGCAGCAGTTATGTTTATGCATACACTCTTTGGACTGCTGGTACAAGATAGATTAAGTCATCTGTTAAGGTTAAACCTATACATGTTTACTCATAAAGAAGTTCCATTAAGTTCAGTGGGGATTTAAAGCATCCGTAGGATTGTGGCTTTTTGTTCATTAACAAGCAAGTGTAATGGTGGCGTTCTGTTTGCGCTTTCCCCTCCTTCATTGACTGTTGTGAGAGGACCAGGTCAGTTCCATCTGTTGTGATGGCAAATTCCAGAAGAGTGACAATACACGGGTTAAGATCTACTAGTGTGACTTGTTGGAAGTTCACAGGGATTCCGTTGATACACCTCTGGACAGAAGCACCCCCTTGCCCCGATAACCAAAGCCACTTAAGAACGGTGGTATGCTTTTACCTCTACTGAGACCATGGAAATGTTCGTTCAAATGCAAGACCTGGAGGAGGAAAGCCTCGCTGCGCTCAGCTGGACCTTCTTACGTGTAAATATGCATAGGATGGGCTATGTTCAGTTCCCCTTTTAAGCTTTGCCTAATTCGAAGCACCGTTCAACTCTTAAGGGACTTTCTTTGGAGTAAACATTGTTATGCTTGGCCTGGGCCGTAAAGGCAGTTAGTCCTAGGATCCATCATAACCCAGTAATGCAGATTTCGTAGAGGGGGCGGATTTGCACCGCACCTTTGCCGAAGACAAAGCCAACTAGCGATTTGGGGACGCGGGCGGCGCTGTATGCGATGTTTAAGGCGAATAATGGATGCTGGAAAATTGAACGACGCCACTGATTTAGTAAGGATTAGTCATCCTAATTAAGGCTTTGTGAGCTAGTGCAACGGACGAATGGATGGACAGCATTATGGGGTATAATTATGGAGTCATGGGGTTCTAGCAGCCCCCCCACTTCAAAGGCCTGCTTTTAATTCATATTCTGATTCAGCGAAAGGCATTGGTAAGGGCCACCGAAGTGTGAGCCAACCCTGGCGCCGAAGTCACGGGCTTTAGGCGTCTAGGGTGACACTATTCGGTCTTTCTCGCTTCTGAGTTAACCGACTGACAATTCGTAGTTATCTCTTTAAATAAACCTTTGCAGGGCCCTTCCCTCATTCTTCCCTCCCTCACGTCCCCTCTACCCCCGCCCCGACTTGGGTTGGGCAACTCGGAGACAACCGAAGACGAAGGCTACGCAAGACCCTGCATAACGGACTCCGCCCTAACCAGCGCCTTTAACGGCACGTGACCAGGCCTTTCCTCTACACCACCCTTCTCGCACACACCTGTTTGTAGAAGGGGCGGGGGTAGCGGCCGAGGACAGAGGAAAAACACAAAAAAAGCCAGCGGAAGTATCTTGCACCTCCCCTCTGAATCACGCGCATGCGCGCTGAAGGAACGTGGTCGGGATTTGCGTATTCAAAATGGCTGCCGCGATGGATGTAGATACTCCGAGTGGTACCAATAGTGGTGCCGGCAAAAAGCGCTTCGAAGTGAAGAAGGTGGGGAGAGTGGGATTTCTAGAAAGGTGTCTGTATGTGAATTGTTCATGGGGACTGGGTTCTTATTCTTTTCATTTGTACGAAGGGGCGGGATCTGTGGTTGACTCAGCTTTGTGCACAGGTCTTCCGGCTGGGTTGGGGGAGGATTTACGCATGTCGTAATGAGAAAAGCCAATAAATGAGAGGCTTGTTGCCTAGTGACAGTAATATGGAGAAAACGGCGGGATAGGGGAATGATAGGGAGAGTCAGAGGTGGACTTGTTTTTTACTAAGCGTTATAATTTATAAAGACAAGGTCACGATGATACAAAAGCAAAGTTGTACACAGTGTACGAAGTCTGCTTTACATCATTTGGGGGTTTCTGTAATATAGATCCTATTTGGGCGTTATCTTCACTGTTTTTTAATTTGAGCTATTTGTAGTAAAATAATGATGGGATTATTGCGTTATACTTTTGGTTGTTCGGGGCGGGGGGTGGTTTGGCGGCTGTGGAAGTCAGACACGTGAGGATCAGGAAATTGGTTCTTCTGTCTCAGTTTTACTTTACACCAGTGAATAGTTTGAGCTCCATTTCCTTTTTTAACTAGTTAATGTATTGAAAATATTAACTGTGACAGTAATGGCTTACAAAATGAGATTACATAAACTGAACGTGTTATCAAATACGTTTCTCCATCTCATTAATTGATCTTGAAGGTCTCAGTTTGTGCTGTTGGGAAATAATTGTCATTGTAGCCAGCTAACTTAGGAGTACCTACAGGCTCTGTGAAGAAAAAAAGAACCTAATGGGGTTAGATGGTATAAGTTTTGTAAAGCTGA